AACCGCTTTCTTTATCCTTTCTATAACCGTCGCTTTTTCGAGCGCTGTATTGTTTCTGTAAAAAGTTTTAAATTAGAACGCACTTATTTCACTAATTTTAAAAATGATTTTTGTATAATTTAAACAGCAGAAAAAATATTTTAAACAGAACTAATCTTTTCCATTTTCTATATTCCCAATAGAAAGTGTGATATTGATTGTGCAAGTACACTGTATTGTATATATGCAGTACAATCTATTGCGTCTGAGTTGTACACTAAGTATATTCTTAGAACATTTATTAACAATCACCAGAGTAAAATGCAATTAAGATTAAATAACTTAACCATGATTTCAATTATTTTCTAACTTATATGGATATAACTAGTGACGACTGCTTTGCGACAATAACATTATATTTCTAAGTATATTTTTATTCGAATATATGTTACATTTTCTTTGTTATCGTGTACATACTACATCACCACTAGTAATATAATCCATTTAATTGTTATAGTGATCATTATAGTTCTTTGTTTTGTTGTTTTATGATTAATAATACCTAGGTTTTTCTATATTATGAATCACATATAGGTATTCATAATCTCTCATCATATCAATCATTTTAGCCTTACCATAATAAACGATAATAAAGGATCAGAAGCCTAGGACTTTTTTAAATTGTGGTTATTTTTTATTGTTTTTGTTTTAAGATTTGTCATAAACACGTTTTCCGTGTACATAAATCTTCACAGTTGCGAACTATTTTATTAGGCCTATAACATAGGCAATATCGCTTTGGAAAATTAAAAAAATATTTATATTTTTAAGAATATAGTGTTTGTTGTGTATTCCTAACATATAGATACATGAATAACATCAGTTGTGAGATTTAACCATTACTTTATGAAAGCTTCCCGTGAACCAACCTGAATGAATCACAAGATGAAAATAGTGGTGATTAAACAAATCTGATTTTAAAAATTGAAAAGCTAGGAACTTTCCAGAACATATAGTAAAAGTTCATCAATGTACAATTTCTGTAACTTGAAAACATTTATTATTTATAGACCAACTTAAACAAAATAGGAGTGACGCATACATTTTTGCTTGCATGCTGCACTTTAAACGGTTTTATTTAGCTTGACCCGTTTATTTGGGTTAAATTTATTATTATTCTGTAAAACACAGAAGAGAGGTGTGTATGTAAGACCCGTCCGTGTGTTATACTTTACTCTTCTAAAGTTCAGGGTTCTTATCTAAAGTTGTAATAAAAACAATCAGTCTAGTCTAGGTAGGCTATTACAAGCACCTGTAAAAGTCAAATAGCCGCACCCCGTCATATCGGCGCAAATCGACGGTGGAAGACCTTGCACTGAAAAGAACATACCTACAAGTATATTAGCTAGGGCTGAGTTTTTGTGACCTGCATTTCCAATAGTATCATCGTTTGAAATTTGACATCAGAGACCCAAGCTCAGCTCCGAACTCGTATCGTCATCGTCAAATATTGTATGGAAGAAGCCAGTTTGTTCTAACGTCCGCATGCGACATGGTGCGCTGCTTAGTTTCCATAAAAACTTTGACGGTGCGATACGATTACAGGAGCTGTCAACTTAGGCTGTCAAAGCTCGTGTGTTAGTGAAGTCATATTCTTGATAGATATTATACAAGCACCTATTTCGTTTGAACCTACTCGTCTGACTAAGCTTTGTGGTTGGAACGTTACTCATTTATTATATTAGGTCCTTTAAATATGAAATTAGCGTTTTGTCGTACTGACCACTTTGATCTGAAAAATCTCCTCTTTGGTTAAGAATTCCAAATTCAAATTTATAAATTCATTTAGTTGGTTGACTTTGTATTCCTCCCGTACAAAACGCCAGTTTCATATGTAAGGATCTAATATATCTACAAACAATAATAAAACCCGGTAGATGCATCATCATCATCAGGGTTCGACCGAAAACCGGCCAAGCACGTGTCTTGCGAATATAGGGCGCAATAAAGGGTTCCGTAGTTGGGTAAGGCCGTAGATTTTGCACTTTCTAGTAATCCGAAGTAGATCTCGCATGTTGTCCGCCTATTTTATTTTTTCCAGCTGAAATATTCTTATCTTGTAACAATATAACTATACATGTTTAGTTTACATTGGTGACAATTCTGGCATGATTACCTAAATTTAAAACTAAATTTAAAATCAGTCTCTCCTTTTCATTCTCTATAGTGAATGACAATGATACACTGCTGTCAAATTTAAGTTTAGATTTAGAGAATCGTACAAGAATCGACAACATTGTAGCTATTATTGAAATAATTTTATTTAAAATTAATTTAAATATGTTGATGACGTAAAAGTTTCGATGCGATACGATTACAGGAGCTGTCAAAGTTAGTGCTGGGGCCTCTGTACTTAAACACGTGTTAGTAAAGTCAAGTTCTTGATACATTACCACGACTAATGTTACAATCACAATAGAAAACCGACATTTAAAATGTGCTTTGTTTTTTGTATTATTTGCCTGTTTCGATTTGCACGAATTCTTCAATAGCAAAAAAGATAAAATAAATATTATGCGCAGGTAAATAGAAGGTCATGTTATTTATTATTAAAAGTATAAGACATGTTTACCACTTGTTTTGCGAATAATACTTAATTCACGTCGTCACTAGGACAGATGTCTTATCAAAACATCATGAAAGGCGTGGTAGGTCAACGAAACTTAATAAGATCTTCCGTTTCTTTACTACATAAATAAAAAGTACCCCCAGTATTTGTACTGAAATATATTAACATAATATTTTCTTAGTTATTCAAACTAGAGTACAACAATGTGCTTTCGAATTTCGCAATCTCCTGCAATCGATAGGCTGTGAAATACAATGAATTCAAATGTGAAAGGTTGTCAGGTCAGAACAACTTACTCCGTTTTTAAATATGTAATTTAACCTTACTAGGTACCATATCGTTATTGGACTGATCAATAAATTATCTAAAAAGTATTATTAAACAATCTTACATCATTGCTTAGCAGCGATTTTGTGCTTTAGTGCTAAAGCACCGAATGAGAATTGAGATGAAAGGTCCAATGAGAATTTAGCGTTTAAATAAAGTAAACGCCATATTATCCATTGGCTTTGTCATCATCACTGCAAATCACTTTTTAAATTGGCTCATTGTATTAAATTATTTTAAGGAAAACATTTTAAAGCCAAAAAACTCGTAAAACAAGGTCATTGCATTGCCAGAACACTGAATTGAAGTTAAACGTGAAACAGGGTCACTGCACTTGAGTCATACATATCTCACGTGTCGCTGATTAAAAATCGAATAAACACACACGCACACAGTGATCAGGCGTATAGCGGTGTGATAAAAAGTTTTCCTTTATATTTTTGTACTAGTGGCCCGCCCTCGCTTTTGTTCTCTGGCTTGAATTATACAAATTGACTTTCTTTATATAATTACTACTGGTTCGATTTGAAAAATTATTATTGTGTGGGATAGTACATTTATCGAGGAAGGCTATATAACATCACGCTAAAACCAGTAGGAGCGGAGCAGTTCCTGAAATTTTTTGTTTGACTGTATTATATCGATGTTCCAATCACCACACAATACAATATTTTAATTGCGTTTCGTGTAAGTATACTTAATAATGAATCTAAATTTTGTAAAAATTTGTCAATTTTAGATGACGGTGTTCTATATATATACAAACTATAATTAAGTTGAAATGAAGTATTTCTACAACACAGCAATCAAATACAAATAATATAGATTCTTCTATATCATATGCCCTTGATTTCAATAGAAATTAATTGTTAACTGGCTCGATTCCAGATACAAACTTACCTACCTTCTTTAAATATTATAAAATTTGAATACAATGCCATCTTAATCCCTTCTTGAATTTATATATTTACCTTACCAAAAAGTCCAAAATCCATTATTTTTTATATAATGACGCGCCGTTCTTTCTAAGTATTGCACCGTTTCCCTGTAGTTTCCCTTTGCGATAGTGAGCTTGCGCACTGCGCAGCGGCTGTTTTTCACGTTTTTACGTTGCGTTAGCTTCCTAACGGCACATCACGGTATCGGTCATACACCGACCGACCCACTCAGACGTAGATCCGCCTGCTCTCCGTCTTACCATGGCCTGTGACCCGTTTGCTTTGCTCTCTAGTCACTACAATGAATTTTCGCCATCACAGCAACTTTCACATCAACTGCTTCTATTGTTATAATGATTGACTCCAATCGCTCTTACAAATACACAAGTTAAGCTATGTCATTAAAAAGAAGAATATTCACATACTTATTATGAGTATTGCACGACTTTATTTATCGATAGTTCTGTAAAATAAAATAGTACGCAATAGAGCGAAACAAAAAACACCTGCTTGTAAACAATAATAAAATGACGTCATCATTTAGAAATACGTCATGTGATAAAATAGTTCCCTGTTTTTATTGTTTTTCAGATTTATTTTGTAAACTGACATTAAGTTTTTTTTTTACTTTTTAATTAACTCTCACCAATTTATGTGAGAGTGAATTGTGAATTTACGGTCAAAATGTGACGGTTCAAAATGAGGAACACCGTTTCTCATTTTGATGTTCAGATTCTGAAATGAAAATATTAAAAAACCGGCAAAGTGCGAGGCGGACTCGCGTAACAAGGGTTCCGTGACTGTATCGATGCAATACTAGATGCTATATTATAAATATCGAGCAAAAAATGGCAAATACATCATTTCTGTTCTATGGGGGCCCCCTCTTAAATACTTATGTGCAATTAAAACAATAAGCTTCTTATAAGTTTTCCTGTAATCTACAAGCAAAGATCTACATTCTTACAATTTTTACATATTTTTCTCAAATTTTAATGCTTAAATAAACTAATGCTAGTTGCGGTGATAATGGTGTGCATACACGACAATATTCATCAATTTTCTTAAATTTTATTTATAAAAAAATATATTTGAAACCTTCACATTGAGTCCTTTCATTTGATATATATATAATTCAATCTGTAGTTCCAAAACACTAAACATTTAAAAGAAACAAATGAAGCGGTCAAATTTATATTTTTATATTTACTAAGTTTTTTCATTCATTAATTGAAAAAACTGCAGACGAGGCTGTATGGATATAGTGTATCATTTTTCCTTTGTCTTCACCATCATGAAAGATAATTTTACCACAATAATCTCTGTTCCTTGATTAACAAATACGGTAATACTTTATATTAGTGAAAGAAGCCACGTTCACAGTTCCATGTTTTATTCCTTAACGCGTTTTATAAAATTGTTCCAATATAGACACAAGATATATTCACTTTCTTTATTCGTTTAAAACTTTAAGTAGTCGCTGTAGGGACTATTTAAAGTTTTAGACAGAGAACGAATTCTGAATATTTCACACTATTGACTATTTCGTCTCGAACTAAGCAAAGGTTGTACTAATATACTCATCAAAAGCGTCTAAGTAACATGAACTTTTTACCGATTTTTAATACTTAATACTAATTTTATTTGAGAGGAGCTCGATGGCGCAAGTTAATTAGCGCAAATTTCGCACTGGTCGGTCATTGGTTGAGTGATCAAAAATTTACTTTCTCGAGCTCCTCCATGTCCATCAGTTAAGCCGCCTGCATCTGCAGTCGTAAGCACCCACCAATCCGCACAGGACTCGCGTAGAGGGTCATACATGGTCCAATCTCCTCATTCCATCCATAGCGGAGGCCCGTGGCAAAAAAATATAAGCATGCTAAAAATTAAGGATGTATTACATATTATTTAATTTAGGCAGATTTGCTGCCGCGTCGGTCTGGTCGTCAACAGAATGTGAAGAAATAATTCATAACTGAATTGACCATAATTAGAAATGTCCGTGTTATTTATCTTTATTAATTATTTAAAATTCTAAAATGTTGCAAACAAAACTCGAATTCGAGAAACAATAAAATCAATCATTCATATTTAATCATAAATGATTTTGACAAAAATCACAATTATTTATACAAAGTTACTTCATAGTTTTATTTCTTTATTACAAAAACATACTTGTCATCAATATCGTATAAACTTCGATAAATTAAACTCGCAGTGAAAAAGAACGTCACAAATAAAAATTAAATAAATTACATAAGTTTTCTTTTCGGTTTACTTAATAAATATGTTCTTATGTTTTATAAATCTAAATTTTATGTGCATTCAACACTATTGCAATGTCGCCTGCATACTCACTTAATTAATTATATAAATAAAAAGCAACTTTCATACGTTTTATATAGATCTAAAATGTAAATAAATTATGTTAAATTTAGAAATGACATAGTTTTCTTTTAAATTCTGTGCCTACGACATTTGAACTATTTATTAAAGCTGTTTTCGAAGACAAACATTTTTGTTGAACCTCCGTACTTCTTCTAAAACAATTTTAGTGACATAACAGGTATCTGGGCATAGTAGTGGTTTTAATATCATCAAATCCATCCATACTAAAATTGTTAGAATGTTTTATAACAAATGAAAAATGTCAACAAAATAACGATTTTTCAGATCGAATTCACCCAAAATGAGCAGCAACGGAACACTCTTTATTAGTGTTTTTAATAACAATAATTTCTTTTTAGACCGGTGACTTATCTTGTAAAGGTACCTCTTCCGGAGCTGTACCATTAGCATTCCCCCCAACTGGTTGGTTCGGTGTCCTACTGTTAGAGTTAGATGAAAATCTATTTTTAATCGAACTCCAGTTTTTCTTTATTGTTATGACAGCTACTATTACTACCATACCAACTACAACTAAACCAATAATGGTTTTATCTACTCCCCCTGTTTTAGTATCAGATGTTGTCGCACCAAGTTTCACTGTAGCCTCCGTTGTAATTGGCGCATTTTCAGGGATTTCTACTAGGGAATTGAAAGGTGCTACGTTATTAGGTTGCTTATCAACAGCAGACCGGAAAGAAAATTCACCGTTGGTTGTAGTTTCACTGGAAATTTTAGGTGCGGCAGCCGTAGTAGTGACACTAACTGTATCTTGTGAATTATTGTCTACGATATTTGGTTTTTCTTGAGTGTCAATTGTCGGTTCACTGTCATCGTTTTCATCAGGAATTATCATTCCTGGTAACACTGGTAAATCGTCAACATCACCAGCTTCTTCTTTGCAATTGTACGAGGCATATTCGCAAGACTCAGTACACACTTTTAATAAGCTTTTTGAAAGTGAATCACATAGATCTTGTTGCAAATCGGGGATAGTGGAAGGCAACGTAATTACTGTTAATGATTCGAAGTTAGAGAAAACATCAGGAGCTATCGTCTGTAAAAAGAAAGAGAGTTGTATTAGAATATTGTTATTATTGGAGTGACAAAGGTCTGATTTTCAAGTCTAGATTAAAACTTGATTTTCTAAATGCAATAAAAAAGTGTCATCCGCAAGATCGAATATTAAAGTCATCAACACATCTCTTCATTTTATTCTACAAGATATCAAACTAAGTAATAAGTGTTTTTCAAGGAAAAACAAATTAAAACTTTGGTTATAAACACTTGGCGTCAAAATAAACGCACCTCCAGGTAAATTTATTTCAATTTTACCAGTAGTGGTATTATTTGAAAGCCCAACAAATATTTATTGCTACCAAACGTGATTTGAACATGTACACCATTGCTGATGAAGCTATCCATTTTATTGCATTACTGCAATTTTTATGTGACAGTGTGATGATGCTCGGCAACTGAACTTGATCGTTTTTGGTTCGAAAAGTATACCAGCGGTTCCAACAGACCGTTTGGTGGCGACATCCGACGACATGATTCTGAAAGACGTCGCTGCACCTGGGAGAGAGACGACCTACATTACGAGATACATTGACGTCTTCGAGACTGATTTCTCGAATGCGTGCACCAGCATCTCCAGCTCGCAGCTCACAGAACAACCGTGAGCGTTTCTACAATTAAACGAAGACTGGAGGATAAAAGGATAGCAGCTCCAGAGCTGCTGCAATTTCAAAATTGACCACAGAGTATCGCCGAGCCCGCTTGCTATTTGCACGCGACCTCATCGGTTGGCCTCTTGACCAATGGACAACTGTTCGTTTCTCAGACAAGACAAGAGTGTGTCTTTTCTGCAACGATAGACGCAAAAGAGCACAGAAGGCAGGAGGAACGCTAGGTTTTGGATTAGTTTCGTTTTAAAGTTTTAGATTAGTTGTTGTATAACTTGTCTCGTCTCTAACTAAATCGTTTTTTTATTGTTTCTTCAATTTTTTTGTGTGTTAGTAAGTTATATTAGTTTTTTGTACACTCCTTTTCGTTACCTTTCAAATAATACCAACATTTCCATCATCTTTAATATCAAATAAAATTTAATGTTTTTTGAAGTAGATTTTTTAAATATGCATATTTTGGACTCAAACCCCCTTATAAATAAACGAAGACTACGCTCGGATTAGTTACTCCATGTTTTGTCTCTGTCTATTGAATGACAAATAACATTGGAGTGACATGAACAAATCACGGCGTAACTAGTCTAAGCTTATTCCTTGTTTATTAATAAGGGGGCGAGTGTATAATTGCTATAAAAGAAAAAGTGTAAATTTGTAAGTACCTTCTTCAAATACATTTTGGACAAATGATTCAATTCAAATTAAGCAGCTATTTGTACCAAGATAACTAAATAACGAATAGATTACATATAGTAATAAAATCATTTTAACAACTTTGACTGGCTGCTACAAATATTCCTGCTCATCACAGACATAAATGCCTATCTACTAGGATTTGAAACCAGGACGCAGTAGGGGCAAAACCGGCGCGGACGCATCAACCGGTCATTAAAGAAGCTTGAATATATTAATTTCATATAATATACTTAAAGATTACTTAGCCTAAATCTATAGTATGAATAGTTTCTTACCGTGCGAATGTCGTTGCCTCCTAAATCCAAGTCTTGCAATTTCAGTAATGCAAAACTGTTCTTCAGGTCATTAGGGTATTCAATTAGTCTATTATTATGGAGATCCAAAGACAATATTTCAGAAAGCTCACTGATTGACTGAAAATATATAACAGTAATGTAAATAATAATAGTAATAAAGTAAAATACTGTATAAGTAAATTAACTATTATACTTTGGAGGAGGATCCAAAATTTACGATTAAGTATTACGTAATCAGAGCAATATTCTCAATTACAGTATACCGTATACTCCGTGGTTCGTAATGAATTTGGTATTATTTTGTACCTACTAATAATATTGTTGTTAAACCAATACTTTTATTTAGTAAATGTAAAAGTAAACTTATCTGTCTGTTACGCTTTCACGCCTATACCGCTAAAATGATTGACTAATTTTGTATATGAAGCCTTGAAAAATATCAAAAGCATCTTTTTTATCGGCAAAGTTTTTATATAAATTAGTGTTTTTACTCAAATTCAAGGGCTCTCACTATTCTTTACTAATATTATAAAGAGGGAAGATTTGATACTCCTAATAAACTCAAAAAATACTTGACAGCTTTCAAAACTGATTTCACCATTAGAAAGCTACTTTATTTTATGAGTGACTAAGAAATTAAATAATATCAAATACGAATAGCAATGTGAAGTGCTGCATACGGCTATGCTAGTGCATAACACATTCATAATTTCACAACATCCTAATACAGAATTGATAAAAACATATCTATACAATAGCGAAAATCCTTCGTACACGAGACATCTAACGCTACAACTAATCCAGCATGGGAGAATTATGCATCGCTGAATATGAAACAATGTTAAATTACAACAAACTAAACTTACACCAGGGACTAAGTCCATTATTGCGTTGTCACTAGCCTTGAGAACTTTTAAGTTTTTCAGCGTCGATATAGATTTTGGTATTTCTGTAATTTTATTGTTCTGTATATTTAAAATAGTAGCTTTTTCATTCAATGGCGATGGGAATTCTGTTAAACCGTATCCGGAACAATCTATTACAAAATCATTTGTAGTTCCTTCAATGCGGCAAACGCAAGGATTTGGACAAACATCTCCTTCACCTTGTGAAGGTGCTTCATCATTTTCCTCTAATAGTATTCTGGATTCGATATGTTCTATTGGAGGCGTTGGGGTTGTTCCAGTAGCCGGTTCCTCAATAACACCTTCACCGCTACCTTCGATGACATCAGGGAGATTGTCCGGTGGAAATTGATTATCATTTTCTACTGGTATTTGAAGATCGTCCTCATTTTGCGTTGTCGTGGTACGGAATCTGAAAATGTATTAAAAGCTATTAAAACACGTGATATTTCATTGGTTCTATGTATTTTATCATGACGTCTTGACGTAAATATGTTACTTATAAAAGATAAAATATGCGATATCTATACAAGGGCGTTACAGGGGCGATTTAATATACATTGTAAGTAGAACCAATGACAATTCAAAGACATCTCACGTAAATGTTGCTAAAATATTATAAATTTAAATTCGCTATGATTTCAAGATAAATTTTACCATGTGCCATCTACAAAATGTGTTATTAAATACTTATAAGTAATTATATTGTACTGATAAAAGATACTTCTCACATCACAAAGCAGTGGTGGGAAGGCTATCTTTTGTACATAGTTACATAAAACTTGTAGACATACTAGTCTAAGATAAACTAGTCAAAGAGTACTAACTGGCGAATGTTATACATGAATTGATATTAGTATGGGCATATATAAACAAGGTTTCAATACTTACGCAATAAGTGCCAGCAACAATAAGTATAAATGTATCTGCGTCATGGTCACTCAAAAATGCAGACACTATTATGAGACGTGCCAACTGATCACAGGAGCTGTTACCTGTCGTGGCACAAGTACCAACGGTACGCAGCGCTCATAACTCACTGACACTTATAACTATTATCACTCAATGATAAGATTACCAGCAGCATGGCCCAGCTTATCGAGAATCAAGTCTGATAACAACACAAACGAGAAACACGAATATTACTTTCTTGTCAATTTTCAATATCTGTTGAAATATAAATTTGCACTCTCTGCCACTAAATTATTATATTGTTTAATAATAAGTGGTTTAAATGATGTAACAATGGACAACTGGGTGATGCAAAACGGTTGTTCGCCATCATTTGTGCCAGCACTAATACTGAAAGGCGTAAACCGTCTATGTAAATCACATTGCAGCGATTCCAGACACTGATGTTTACTGTCTTGACCTCTTGCTATCTACCGACGATAGTGTTGCTACTAATACGAATATTCCACATTACAGTTATTCTTTACACCAAAATATTTTCTTGTCAAAAAAATATTTATTAATTTCACACAGTTTATGTTTTTCTGTCTTTTGTTTATCACAACATATTTGTATGGTTAAAAAATCATCACGATAATCTACATTTATTTGGATTTAATTGCATTTATCTGCAACGATATTAAATGCCCTAGCGCTCAAAATGTGTCCCAATCAAGAAGTGCTTGAATACGACTCGAGCATTTCTTTGTTCACGGTGTCGCGCGGACCGTTGAAAAGTTAACATGCCGCAGAGCTCCAAAAAAAATGCGGAAAAAAATACTTAAAGTAACGTAGAGTGTCGTTTTTTCGACAGTTATCTAATCAATGTTTATTAATTGAACACATTTGAAGCAAATTTTGTTCTTATAAACTGATTATTACTATAAACTGATGTAATAAAAAATATTTGCAATATTCAAATGCATGGTCGGTTATATAGCCGTCTCTTTTCCTCGCGGTCCACATTCAGAATTGCGCGTAGAGTCAAAGAAATAAGGTCTTTATTCTTCGGCATATAGCAATGTGGTAAAATTTTACGAGCGTGCATTTCGAACTGGCATAACTTTTTGATGCATGCATTTTAATTTAGTTTATGTTGCGTAGTCACGCAGTCATCTTACGGAGCTCAGTGGATCATCCAATGTACCTTTTGGACAGGTTTCGGCCACGATTTTGTTCATGGTGTTGTGTCTAGGGTGTTTAATATCGTTGTATAGCTAGCTGGCAAGAATAGTTGGTTACTCTAAATTATTACACAGCATACTCCTTCATAACACTAATAACAAAGCAGTAGAATATGGATAAAAAATAAGCATTAATCAAAACTACTTTAATTTTGTGTTGTGAAAAATCTGTGTTTATTTCACGCAAGTTAAAATAAACTGTTGATCCGAGAAACTGTGCATAAACCCCGTTTGCACATCGTTATTCTTGTATCATGTATTTTTGTAATGTTTTACCGGATATGTAGTGAGGAAACATACGAATCTGTTTAACATCGTTGCGTTTCGTTGTTTGCAGTACTGCAACGGAGGTGACCTGGCTGACTATCTGCAGGCGAACCGCCTGCTCAGCGAGGGTACGATCCGGCTGTTCCTGAGACAGCTGGCAGAGGCCATGCGTGCCATCCACGCCAAGGGCATTGTGCACCGCGACCTCAAGCCTCAAAATATCCTACTCACACACAACGTTGCCCCGCCTCGCACGCCACACCCCTCTGAAATGACGCTGAAAATAGGTAATAATCGTAATCAAAAAGTAAAAAAATAAATAGATCAGACAAACAATACCAAGGTCGAAGTTAACTCTTGACGGAGAAAAATAAAACCTAACAGCGACTTACAGAACAAAGTTTAACCTAACATGGGACTTACAGAACTAATCTGATTTCATTTTCAACCGACTTCAAAAAGGAGGAGATTCTCAATTCGACTGTTTTATTTTTGTTCGTTACGCGATACCTCCTTAAATTTTTTATCTTGTTATCGTGTTAAAGTATGATGTAGTACAAGTACTTGCGTTAAGATATAGTATGCTGCTATTCTTAACACCATCACTGAAATTTCTACGTAATCGATATGATTAATTTAATTTTATCTACATCTTCTCGCAAAAACATTTTGATACACACTTCATTCAAACATATTAGTAATGGGGTATCCATTACTTCATAAAAATAAACTTGGTTCTTAAATAATAATAGTGAATGTATTTTTCATTTGTATTTACGTTTAAGTGGCATTTTAAATATTGCGTCTCTACATTACCGTAGATTGCAATCGTGTATTTTTTTATAGTACGTATGATTTTCTACAATTATATTAAACGAGTTGTGCCCCGCGGTGTTACTCGCGATTTATTACGGATATTTTCCCGCAGTAAAACGTAGTTTGTGTTAATTCAGGGTGTCAGCTAACTCCATACCAAATTTTATCAAAATCGATCCAGCCCTTTAGAAGTGAAGAAGTAACAGACATGTGTGTATTTCACAAACTTTCGCCTTTATAATATTAGTGTGATAATAGTACAGAGTAAAGAGCAGCTGTTACGCACTATTTAATAATAGTACAAATAGTTTGATTTCTCATCGGAGTGTCACTTCAAGGATTAATTTGACTTTACATTCTGAAGTGTAGCAGCGATCATGATTTTCAACACCTGAGGCCCACGTACGAATTTTGACAGCTCCGTAATCGTATCGTTTATCAGTTTGCTCTTGCGTCCGGCAGGGGCGGGCCCTTTTTCATAGAAACTTTGACACTGTCAAAGTTCGTGCTTGGACCTCAGGAGTACCTTTTAAAGAGTTAAAAAAATCATCTTTCCGCGAGGCAAGTACTCGTCTTTGTTGCTCTTCAAAGTGACATGTTGACGCACAAGGGGCGTTCCAACGATCTGCGTTGACGAGGAAATTTAAAAGTGCGCTCCAAGTAGCAATGCTTTTATCGGATGTATCAAATAGAAGCTACTTTAAATTATCTCTTTCTTTAGCTTATAAGTAGTCGTAAAATTTGTATTACTCGTTTATGTAAATGCGACTGTAAACTAGATCCGAAAAACGTGATTTGAATATAAACAATTCAATTAACAGCTTTAATAACTTGCGTTTATTCTGTGCAGCTGACTTCGGATTTGCAAGGTTCCTCGAAGAAGGCAACATGGCCGTCACTCTCTGCGGCTCGCCTATGTACATGGTATGAACCAGAATAACTTTATATAATACTACAAATTATTTCATTTAGAGTGATGAAATCTTAATATCATTTTTTACTTATACAGGCACCAGAAGTTATTATGTCACTAAAGTACGACGCCAAGGCAGATTTGTGGAGTTTAGGCACGATTGTTTATCAATGTCTAACTGGAAAAGCTCCGTTTCAAGCCACCACTCCTCATGAACTAAAAGCTTTCTATGAAAACAGCGTAGATCTTCAGCCGAAGTAAGTGTAGTTCGTTCATATTTAGCTAATGACACCAATTCACGTATAAACAGCAAGTTCAAGTTCGTTACTTTTTCTAATAAAAAACGGACTAGGTGTACAGTAGCGAAAAATCGAGATATTTTTTAGCGACCGGTACGCCGATTTTGCTTTTTGTAGTTTTTGTGAGTCTTATATTATTATCTCAAGGCCCCACAAAAGTAAACCAATTGACTGGTTATCATACTATTACCGTGCTATGAATGTAAGTTTATAAATTTATAATCTCCCTTGGATTTGCAAAATCTTTTATAGTGGTTTATTATTCTCTGTTAGTGTCTTATTAATTAATATGAGATATAAGTAATTATTCTCTCAGGGTCACTGTTTATTCAACATTTTAACTTTCTCTTAAGTTTTGCTATTATTAAGCAGTTATAATTTCATGTACTGTTGACTTACATAGTATCTATAAAATTAATATAATGTGAAATGTAAATTATATAATCCAGAATGCCAGCGGGGACGAGCCCAGAACTGTGCAATCTGCTGATCGGCCTACTGCGACGGAATCCGCGCGAGCGCATGCCCTTCGAGGCTTTCTTCAACCACCCGTTTCTACAGAGGCCTCGCTATACGTCCAGTAAGTTCATAATGTTTAACCTGTTGGCATGCAGTGTATTATTATTATCACTTTCTAAACCAAGTATTTGAAAATTGGCTTCCTACTGAGGAAGGAAAGTAGTTAATAATCTATGCATCTATCACACTTCTTGATTAAGCCTAAAGACGACTTTGACGTAAAAATATCTTATAGACTTTGTCGGAACCAAACCAACCAAGCCCTCTGATGAGACGACGCAAAATACGAATTCGTCAACACCATTTGCATTGTTTAATGTCTATTTTCTAGTTATCATTGTATAGTATATATTTGTTACATTTATTTATAGGCGCAATATATGTATTTGATATTGCTATGCGTACTTCCGGAAGTGACCGTCATAGATAAAATAAAACATTTCTTCGTATATAAAGGTGACAGATAAGAATACGACACCTACACGACATTTCTTACTTATGTTTACTGAATCATTGCCGCAATGTTAGCATTAATGAATTTACAAATAACCCAAGTCAAATGTCGAACTAGGAATGAGTAACTAGGTCGGTCAAGGTTATCCCTATACCATTGTTCTAAATTACAAAAGTATTGTTAATGCAATCGAATTACAATTAACTCTGCCTCCGTCAAAATAACATTATTTCTGCTTCATTTTATCATTTAACAATTACCTACTCGAAATCGAATAAAATTTCAGATAACATATCAAACAATAAAAATCGCAAATATTACTCATGTTTAATTGTTCATCGTTTATTGAAATTTCAGTAAATTTTAAAAGAGTATTATTATTACGTTTACGTGTTATAATTAGAGGATTCGATCCCGGTCGATTTTTTTTAATACCGGGATAGTCCCGGGATTGTATTGGTAATAGAAAGTGGTAACAAAAAGACAGTAAACCATATCAAATTATTTATTATTATCTTTAGTTAAATGTTTAAAAAACAAAACAAAATTATACTTTCTTCTGATAAAATAAACAAACTAGGCACTTTTGTAAATAATTTATGAAATAGTTTTAAAAAACGAATTGCCTAGTTTGTTTATTTATTTTACAACAAACTTAAAAAATCAACTTCTTAAGACTTGTTTAGAAGTACAGTAAAAATACTATATGTGGTCCTTCTTTATTTTGAACCGTTGAGGAAGATGCCTTAGCAGAATCTACTTCCACGGAATGTTTTGAAGATAGATGAGTATGTAGGCCTTTGGTTGATCCTCCTAAGGTCTTCAAAATAGCTAAGCAACGTTTACATTGCGCTGAGCTACCCGCTTTACCGACTAAAAAATGCCTCCACACTGACGAAACATCTTCATCTTTTTTATACTTGACATTAAAACTTTCTTTGGATATTGACATTGTTTACTTCTTAAACCTAAACAAAAATGAAAAGAACATTTAAGTCTTGCACAACATAAACATAACCTCTTAGAGCTACAGAAAATAACACTAGTTGTTTGTCATCTATATTTACTCAGAGACATGAATACATTGGTTGTTTTTTTAATAAATTTATTGATTTTATTCACCAATTAACAAAAAAAATATCAATAATTACACGACGTGAAGCGGAATTTTTACACACTTTTACACATAATCCGGTACCGGTCGTTAACAAAAATAAATGAAGTCAGCTGTGTAAACAAGATGACCGTCAAAACGTCAAATGCAAGTAAGCGCGTTTCGTTTCACGCACATTTTTACTGACTTATATAAAAAATATATCAATACCGAAAACCCCGGGATACATTACATTTAATCCCGAAAATTACGGGACTAAAATATGACCGGGATATCCCTGGATCCCGGAGACCGAGATCCCGGGATTGAATCCTCTAATTATATTATACGTACACGCAGAAAGGATGCTTCACCCTCTCACTACGTTTTTTACATTTCTTAGTAAATCCAATGATTTACTGTCGAATAGTGAATGGGAAACGTTATGACTACGATTAAAATTTACTTTATATACCTTAACTGTATACTCAATAAAAATACAAAAAAACTATCAGTTAGTTAGGAGACTTCAAAAATTTTATTAGACATATTCAAATCTGACCAACATTGTTTAGGTTTGGATTCCGATCTGCCTGATATAATGGAGAGCGATCTCGAAGGCCGTGCCGAAACTAACTGTTTCCTAGAAGAGTCGTGGCAGAGCCAGGGTACTTATAACACCTACTCTAAAGCTAGACAAGTATACTCCGTTTGTGCATGGGGTGTTCAATTCATAATTATTGTTGACCATGTGAGGCCAGATTACTTTTATAAGCTTTTATGAATTCGACAAATGTATTTCTACAGTTCTTCCTACTTCAGCTTGCACGGCATGGCTTTCAGTGTGAACAAGGATCGGCATCACGAACTCTTTAAAGCAGCCATACAAATTGTCACACAAGACAAAGTATGTGGCTGTGTGCAACAATATTCAATATTATAAACTATTATTATTATAACTATTAACTAATATACGCTCATTATAGCTTATTGACTTTCAGAAATTACTTCAGTCTTGTGCTTCATATACAATGTAAATTTTACAAAGCTGTCTGCTCTTTTTACGTAACGTAGCATCATATACCTCAGTCATGATAACGTAATGATGCGGCATGATTGTAGCCCGGCTAATGCTAATCGCTTGATCGATGTCGATTTGAGACAATAATTCGTATAGAACGTCATGTTTTCGAACACGGAACATATTAAGGATTGCAGATCTTTCGAGATAACACGTGTCAAATTGTAAATTCTCTTGGCCACTAGATTAGTGGTATTATCATTATCTATTATCTCTGACATCATCGACAGTCATCCAAGATTTAAAGCACATTATCTTTCTTTTAATGAAGCAATATGTTTGCTTTTGGGTCTTTATCTTTAGGGAAATTTGAGTGAATATACTCTTTGCTTGACCTCAAATACGCGGCATTGGTATTAAGTACAATATAACCATATTTAACAGCGGGTACCAGCGGCGTACCGTCTGCGGCTCCGATGTCGCGGGTGGCGAGCGCTCCACGAGTTACAGCGCCCGCCCCCGCGCCCCCTGCGACTGCACCCTTAGCGCCGCAGCCCGCGGCACTCAAAAAACCACACCCCACATCTTCCGGTAAGTTATTTATACCGGCCACCTACGCGGTCACCCTTCCTAAACCTGACCAATCATAAACACTGCACTTTCAGAATATCGAAAAAAAAATTACACCGAAACTATCATGAATTCATAGTTCTTGATAAATATTGAAGAAACGTGAATGCAAGTAAGATCAAACGTAAGATGAATTTGATGATTGAAAGAACAGCAGGCACGTCTTTAGGGGCGTGGCCTAACAGTTTTGTTATCAAAAAACAGGCACAGCTGGCTATATTGCTAACATGTTTTGTTTCAAAAAGTATCTTTATCTTAGTTATTTATATATATAAAGTTATGTTAATTTGATTTGACTTTTCTTTTTCACGTGTTCCGTAAAGTTAAGGAGTAAAGTGGATAATTCATACATTTACTTACTTAACCTATGCCTCCGAGCATGAGTATCAAGACGCGATAGTTATTATAAGCGATTTTTCGACATTTATTGTCAAACTACAATAGAGTTTGACCGTTGAGTAGCGATAAAAAGCTTTGTAATATCGTATCGCAGTGTTCATGCGACGAGGGCGTAATGAAGTTACGTTAAAGTTACTGACTAAAAATCAATGGGCCGGCAGGGGTGTTTAGGGGGACGTCAAAACACTCAAAATGCTTTGGATATAACACTGGTAGCTAAAGAAAATAACACGTGTTTTCTGGAATTAAACATGCCAATATACAATTAGCTACTTACCTGTCCCCGTAGCATGAGCACACAATTTACATTATATTACGTTTTTTATCGCATCTAACTCTCGAGCTCCATAATAATCTGACATTTGAGTGTGATAAAAACGCGATATATATCTCTTAACGCAGTACTCATGCTACCCCTAGCCCCCCGGCTGCTGCTTACTTAGGAACTAACATATTATTTCAATAACAAAATTAATAGAGTAACGTGATATTATATAAAAATTTACTTACCTACCTATTATAAAAAGGTCGTATGTATTTGGTTCCTTGGGTATATCGTAAAAACTGCATTTTCAAAGCGGTCCTGTATTAAACACCGTACTACGTTGATAGTTAAGAAAATATCTTTGAATTACAGCTCCATTTGCTAAGCCTATTATATACAAGATTCGTGCGTACCTTCGCTAATGCATTCAATAGTTATGCCAGTAATAATTATATTTAGGCATTCTTTAATCTGTTTCTTAGGTTTTCACGCACATCACTCATTAAATAAAACTAGTTTTTACGGGTTAATGCACGAAACTTTATTTATTTATTGACGTTTCGCAGCCTTTTCAGGTCTGCATCGTCAGAATAAGACTGACGATGCAGACCTGAAAAGGCTGCTGAAATATCAAATAAAGAATTTGTATTTGTATTTGTATTTGTTAAACAATGCAATACTACATCCCAGAAATGAACCTCTTGATTTTTGGAGTCTGAAACATGGAACGGCAAGCTTGTTCTTAAATCTCGTGTTAAAGTTATGGGTTTGACTTTTTTTTGCAAATGCGTCATAGTTTTTTCTTACATATATTATATTTTCATAGAGTATTGCGATGCCAGTGTTAAAATATTAATTTCTTTAAATTTTTCTCTAAGAGATTCTCTTGCCTTTAAATTATATATCAACAAAAGAACAGCTCTCTTTTGCAGTACGAAAATACTTTCTATATTAGCAGCTGAGCCCCACAACAAAAGGCCATATGACATAACGCTATGAAAGTAACCAAAGTAAACCATTCTTGCCGTTTCCACATCAGTTAGGAGTCTTATTTTTTTTACAGCGAAGGCCGCAGAGCTCAGTCTACTTGATAAGGCATCAATATGAGGATCCCATTGCAGATGCGAGTCTAAAGTAATACCCAGAAACTTGTAGAATCCACTAACTCTACAGGCTGGTCATTTATTTTTAAACTAGTATTAACCTGCCTCACATTAGGTAAAGTAAGCTTAACACATTTTGTTTTGCTAGAGTTTAGTTTTAAATTATTTACCGTAAACCAGTGAAGGACTTCAGAGAGAGCACAATTTACTTCGTCATAACAATCATTTCCTCTCCTAGATTTAAATAGAAGTAGGTATTAAACCTAAAATTGATCTCGATATTCCCAGTAGCCAGACCAGTCTGCTCATAACTCATTTTATTAGAAGCATAACTATCAACAACACGATTAAAAGCAAAGGATAGGAAAATATATGAATAATTAAACGAATATAGAATACTCAAAGTCACAACACGCGATTTGTTGTACTTGACGAATGTTCTGGGTTTTAAACAGTTATAAATACAATAAAGTTATATAATGCCTATATATTAATATGTAATTAACGACCATATCGATAACCCCCAACTGCACATCCCTTACGAACCCAAAGTATTCAATCAACTTTAATAGTATAATAAAACATATACTTCTGTTGTTGTGTTAATGTTCCCATTACAAATCCGTTGCTGCGGTATTTAATAGTATTTGATTTATAATAAAAAAAAATGGGTGCGTGTACTAGTATTTGATTTATAATAAAAAAAAATGGGTGCGTGTACTTATGTAGGCGCGTGAGAAGTTATCCTTCTTTGGCATCGTTTAAAATTAGTTTTTAATTGCATGCAAATAATTAATTACAATAAATTAATAAAAAGTCTGGAAAAGGACACAGTCAATAAAGTTCAGTTTTAATTTGAAAAAATAAATAAATAATCAAAATATTCAATTAAAATCGCTACTGAATATAATTTATTAGAACATATGTGATTTGCACTTGTTTGAAACTCAAACACGTATTCCGAATATACAAACTAGAAACATGTGGATAAATATTATAAATATGAATACCTATAACTGTTACTTTATTACAAAAAATAAAGATGTGGTTTTTGGTTCTACTACACCAATGGTCAAGAGATGGCGCTGTAGTCTCCTGAATCGCGCTTTGGTTCCGTTGTTCCAGATTAATAAATACTTTTGATAGGCCTTCACAATGCAGTCGTTAGCACCCACTAAATAGAGATTCTATTTTTTTTTGTTGGTAGATTTTCTTAATGTGCGGTAAACATATAAGTAACAGTGTAATATTTTGTGTTACAGTGATGCGCGCGCATCTTAAAATTTCACTCTCATCATTTTTTCATAACGCGCCTAAAGAAGTATAACTTCAAAAATAATGAGATAAACTTTTAGTGCAAAAATATTTAAAATGTTTTGAAAACACCTTGTGGAAAATTATAACAACTCTATTCATTCTTAGTAACGAGTAATTAATATAAATTGCATGTGCAATTGTTTTGCAATGACCTATTACATCATGATGCTGACGATCGGAATAGAGCGGTGCAACCTGTAATCTTGACGATAGCGACACACACTATTATGTCCTATTTACACTATTTAATCATTATTTTAACTACACACATCAAAAGTGTCTAGGGATCAACATATATTTTTGCAATAACTTTTCTCCTGATTGATATTAATTAAAATTTTCTTTAAGGATTCATCAAATAAAGTGTTTTCGTTTGTCACAGTAACGATAAACCAAGTCACCTTTGCATTAATAAAGAAATTTGCCATTTTCCTAATAAAGGGATTTTTGACATTTGAACCACTAACACAAAAGTTCGAAAAAAAGACTGAAATAACAGTTTTCTCTAAAATTTTATTGGGTAACTTAAACAATTAATAATCCGTATTTCTACCGCGAACACTAACAACACAAGAACATCGGTTTGGCATACTCAAAATGAGTTCATCCAAATCACGCTGTGGAATGGCCGCCCATGTTCGTTGCAACAACAAAAAAAGGTCTTTTTGCTACTGGATACCCTCCATATTCGGCAGAGCTCTTCTCTGTAGCATATCCCATGCATGCTCAATCGGGTTCAAGTCTGGCGACTGAGCAGGCCAGGGCAGGACATTGATGTTAGCTGCGGCGAGAGTCTGTCTTACAACTCTTGCGGTGTGCGGTCGTGCATTATCATGCATTAACTGAAATAAGGGACCGATTTGCACTTGTAGAGGAACGATGACGTCTGATACAATCGTCTCAGCATAAATTTGAGCGTTGAGGTTGCCTCTGATCCAAATCAACTCAGTTCTTCCGCCGATCCAAATACCCGCCCATACCATGATGGTTCCACCACTATAAGGATGGACTTCCTGGCAGGATTTTAATCGCTGTTGGCGTCCAGGGGTTCTCCAGTGTCGTATACGTCTTGTATCCGGTCTCATACCAAAACGAGACTCATCAGAAAAGCACACGAAACGCCATTGTTCTTCTGCCCAATTTCTGTGTTCAAGAGCCCATTGATATCGAATCCTACGATTGTGCATTGCTATAGGTGGTACCCGTAGCGGTCTTCGGGAATGAAGGTTCACTTCATGCAAGCGGTTTCTGACTGTTTGGTCGCTAATTAAGTTCCCTGAAGAGTGATGAAGCCTCACGGCTAACATCATGGCGGTTATTGTTGGAGCTCTTCGAGTTAAGATTTGAATGTATCGGTCTTGTCTCCGTGTGGTGCAGCGATACCGTCCTCCATGGCGCTCAGCCACGGTACCAGTGCTTCGGTATCGTGTCCAAAGTCGACTGATAACACTCTGACTTGTATTCAGAGCTAAAGCCACAGTACGTTGCCGGGAACCAGCTTCTATCATTCCCACGGCTCTGAGCATTTCTTCCCTGCTTAAATGACGTCGCCGCTCCATAATAACGTTGGTTTTAATCAGTAGTAGGGAAACAGTAGCACTAATAATGTCTTCAATGCGTTGTATGTTTTAGGGAAAATATTGACAGCTGATTTTCATCTTTTACTCGAATTTGATTCACAGTTCCTGATTCAAATTATGAAATGCACCAAAAAGGATCCATATAAATTTATAAAATCATAAATTTATTACAAAGCCACATCTCAATCTCAAGAAACCCGCATAAAAATGCTTGATCCCTAGACACTTTTGATGTGTGTATTTCAATTAAAATACAGGCTTAATATAAAAACAACACTGATTTGTTATGACTATTTTAAGGAATATATTTAAGTGATCCTCAAAAAAATTATCACCTTAAAATAGAATTAGTAATCCAAAAGTTATGTTGCCGATTGTATTTTTTGAGGATGAATTACTATTTTTTGATAATTAATTAAAATATATGCCCTATTAGTATTATGGAATGTTATTAAATTTCATAAATATTATGGGGGCGTGGAAAAATAAAAGTAGAAAGCACCTGCTATTTATCAAACACTTGGTGAAATTCTGTAACAGAAAGGAGTGTAATAGTGTACAGATACTGACCTCCAACAAACGTTTCTCTGGCGAAGGAGCTGCCAACAGAATGTTTCTTTTATGAGTTGTTACACAACAGAACCATTCCACTACGAACGTTTCACAGACAAAAATGTTTGGTTGCTTGGCCACAACATCAACAAGCTGCTCTGCTGGATGCGGATAGCTCAGGTCCGATCAACTTGAAGATTATCGGAAGCGTCGTGTGATTGAATGATGATTTTAAGAATGTTGCCTGTTTCTGTGTGTAGCCGAGTCGTCGGGCACGACCTGGGCGGACGACGACGGGTTCGTGATGGTTGACGCGGAGGGCGGGTCGGGCGAGTGCTCGGCCTCGTCAGGCTCTGAGGCGGCGCCGCGCCCGCGCACGCTACCCCTACAGGCTGCGCCGCCCGCGCCGCCGACTGCTACTCAACCACCGGACGCGGTACAGTTCCGGGTACGTATACTGGACGGGCTTGTCATGGTGGATGCGTAGGGCAGGTCGGGCTCTGAGGCGGCGCCGCGCCCGCGCACGCTGCCCCTACAGGCCGCACCGTCGACTGCTACTCAACCACCGGACGCGGTACAGTTCCGGGTACGTATACTGGACGGGCTCGTCATGGTGGACGCGGAGGGCAGGTCGGGCTCTGAGGCAGCGCCGCGCCCGCGTACGCTGCCCCTACAGGCCGCGCCGCCGACTGCTACTCAACCACCGGACGCGGTACAGTTCCGGATACGTATACTGGACGGGTTCGTCATGGTGGACGCGGAGGGCAGGTCGGGCTCTGAGGCGGCGCCGCGCCCGCGCACGTTGCCCCTACAGCCCGCACCGCCGACTGCTACTCAACCACCGGACGCGGTATAATTCCGGATACGTATACTGAACGGGCTCGTCATGGTCTCTCGTCACAAATAATTGACACTCCAACGCAAAAAAACTATTACAGTTTACGTAACATTTAAGATTTCCTACTTACATGATACATTATAAATTAACTAAAGCAACATCACGTCTCAATTATACAGACGATCATTACTGTACAGACATAAATCCGAATAACCACAACACGATTGTAGTTATTTAGATTTATGGTATTCGTAAATGTGTATCATAGCCATTTGTGTGACTGCGACTAACTGCAATACTTACACTTGTTTCGAATGCGCTTAGAGCGTTTGTGTTTATGCTTGTTCACGTACAACTTGCGGGGTCTTAATGCCGTGTGTATGTACCATGTGATACATGATGCTTAATGGTACTATCTCTACTACAAAAATAAGTAAGTACTACAATTCTGCGACAGACGAGTGTTAAGAAACGCCATTCAGAATATATTTCAAAGTTATTACTATCACTTTTATAACGTGTTGAAATTCAGTTATACATTATGAACTCATGCTTGTGACCATGCAGAACTTTAGCTCTTCAACGTTAATATTGTAACCATTAGTTTTAAGTATACTTGTGATATAGACATTTGTAGATGCAATTCTCAAATATATTCTATCGTTATTTCGTGGCTCTCGGGTTTACGTAAATAAGCATCGAGTTTGTGCTTGCTTTCACACGTGACTAATCTGGGGCGGGGCTTGCAGAACACTGTCGAGGCGGCGTCGAACAACAACGTGCCGCGCTCTCAGCCAATCGACGTGCGCCGTGCCAGCAGCCGCACTAACAACATCGGCTCGCTCTCACCGCCCACTGTGAGTGTTTGCCGCCGCTAACATACATGATACATTATACTGAAGGCAGTCTTCACACACCTCACGAACAACAACATGTCGAGCTCGCAGCCCATCGACTGCGCCTCGCCGGCAGCCGCACCAACAACATCGGCTCACTCTCACCGCCCTTTGTGAGCATGTGCCGCCGCTAACATACATCATACACTATACTGACAACCATCATCACATACCTCATGAACAACAACATGCCGCGCTCGCAGCCCATCGACTGCGCCTCGCCGGCAGCCGCACAAACAATATCGGCTCACTCTCACCGCCCATTATGAGCGTGTGCCGCCGTTAACATACATCATACACTATACTGACAACCATCATCACATACCTCATGAACATCAACATGCCGCGCTCGCAGCCCATCGACTGCGCCTCGCCGGCAGCCGCACTAACAAAATCGGCGCACTCTCACCGCCCATTGTGAGCGTGTGCCGCAGCTAACATACATCATACACTATACTGACAACCATCATCACATACCTCATGAACAACAACGTGCCGCGCTCTCAGCCAATCGACGTGCGCCGTGCCAGCAGCCGCACCAACAACATCGGCTCGCTCTCACCGCCCACTGTGAGTGTTTGCCGCCGCTAACATACATGATACATTATACTGAAGGCAGTCTTCACACACCTCACGAACAACAACATGTCGAGCTCGCAGCCCATCGACTGCGCCTCGCCGGCAGCCGCACCAACAACATCGGCTCACTCTCACCGCCCATTGTGAGCGTGTGCCGCCGCTAACATACATCATACACTATACTGACAACCATCATCACATACCTCATGAACAACAACATGCCGCGCTCGCAGCCCATCGACTGCGCCTCGCCGGCAGCCGCACAAACAACATCGGCTCACTCTCACCGCCCATTATGAGCGTGTGCCGCCGCTAACATACATCATACACTATACTGACAACCATCATCACATACCTCATGAACATCAACATGCCGCGCTCGCAGCCCATCGACTGCGCCTCGCCGGCAGCCGCACAAACAACATCGGCTCACTCTCACCGCCCATTATGAGCGTGTGCCGCCGCTAACATACATCATACACTATACTGACAACCATCATCACATACCTCATGAACAACAACATGCCGCGCTCGCAGCCCATCGACTGCGCCTCGCCGGCAGCCGCACAAACAACATCGGCTCACTCTCACCGCCCATTATGAGCGTGTGCCGCCGCTAACATACATCATACACTATACTGACAACCATCATCACATACCTCATGAACATCAACATGCCGCGCTCGCAGCCCATCGACTGCGCCTCGCCGGCAGCCGCACAAACAACATCGGCTCACTCTCACCGCCCATTATGAGCGTGTGCCGCCGCTAACATACATCATACACTATACTGACAACCATCATCACATACCTCATGAACAACAACATGCCGCGCTCGCAGCCCATCGACTGCGCCTCGCCGGCAGCCGCACCAACAACATCGGCTCACTCTCACCGCCCATTGTGAGCGTGTGCCGCCGCTAACATACATCATACACTATACTGAAAGCCGTCATCACATATAACATGAACAACAAAAAGCCGCGCTTGCAGGCCACCGACGTGAGCCGCGCCGGAAACATCGGTTCACTCTCACCGCCCACTGTGAGTGTGTGCGCCGCTAACACACTATACTGACGGCCGTAACCACACACATCACGAACAAAGACGTGCCGCGCTCGCAGCCCATCTACATAAGAGTTTACAGTGCGGGTCATTGACCGTTACAATCAATTAGGCAGAAAAAGACTTATGTAACGAGATGTCACCCCATGCCACGCATGTTGAGTCAAATCAAAACGTACCATTTTCTATAATCAGGCAGAATCACTTTAGAGACATCCGATACGACGCGATGCGCCATAAAAAATATGCGTTGCCTGGGGTAGCGTCGCGCTTTATAAGTCTATTTCGGCCTTAAATCAAGAGAATGACGACCCGCTGTCTCTTTGTTGCTGTTTCTTTATTAGTATAAATTTTCTTATTTTTTTATGTGTACGTTTCAAATAAATCATTACATGTAAGAAACGGCATAAAACTCAGTAACAAAAAATAATATAAACAATATTGTATGTACACACATAAAAAAACAGAATAAAAATAGAAATTTATTATATTTTAATGTTTAAGCACAGTTCTCAAGCAATGTGCATTTAACATGCTACTTATCTATCGTCACCCGCGATTAATTGTTTACATTATATTTGTGCATGTTTATGTGCTTATCATCATTAAAATTTATTGTTCGTAAATGGGGTTAAAAGTAATGGGGTATAAAGTATTAGTCTATTAATTCACCGACAGTACGAAACTTATAACTATAGAGGTTTTTCTTCATCGTATCTAATTTTTAGGGAACGTTAAAAAAAAACTCAGAATTTCTTAATAAGTGTTTTGATGATTTGTTATAATTATACACTAAGAAGACACCAAACAGTTGTTGAATGTATCATTTCGTGCTTATTTTTATAAAAAAAAATAGTTCAGCAATCATATCCCATCTGCTAAAAAGGTGACATTAAATGTCTATGACACATGAAACACTACAAAATAATTACTAATGTTGTCCTACCTTTTGTGCTGTAACCACTCAAGAATAATACCTAATTTTATGGACCAGTTTTATTCAATACACTACATTATTCTGCTTTATCGCTATATTGGTAGAGAATGGAATGGGAAAACATGCGAATGATACTACTATTGGCCTAGAAGACATTAAAGTTAATCATTTTGTTTTAAATCGCTGCTAATTAAATTAAAGAGGAGTATGACTTGATCAAAGTTTTAAAATGACTCAATAACTTGTAAGATAATTCAGTGCTCCAAATATCTTTATCTACACCCATGCTTTAAAACCTCTATTAAAAATTCTGTAATAGTTAGCTTATTGCCAACATTAAAACATCCAATGTCATATTTTAAAAAAAAAAGCCGTGTTTCATAGACCCCGAGCGGATGCCCGCTCCGTGCCTCGCTTAATGATGCGTACGCTCTTAATCCCTTCCGCGCCAAGGGCTTGTTCTTCAGACAGCCACAATAGGCTATTTGACAGTATCAAGATTATATATTTTCGTCAGGTGCCGTTCACAATGGGTACACCGCGGCTACGTCGGCGAAGTAGTAACTCTGGCAGCTCGCCGCCTCCGTCCCTGTGGCAGGTGTCGCCAACGAACGCCAGCCCGCTACGCAGATCAGGTCAGGATAAATCTATCGTCAGCACATATTACACACCATACTGTGGTCATGTGGCGACGTAAATATACAGTACGCATTAGTCTTAATCTAAACAATTTAAAATGTTTTGGAAATTACACGTAATTAACAAACTATTTTCACGTAAAACGTGTTAGTGGAGCGCTTTCTTTATCACAGAGTCGCTTACAAAAGACACGGATGTAGAACTACATCACATTAGAAATTCATTGGCCAGTGTAACGACAATTCTAAATCAACAACTCCACAACGAGTAACTCTGGTCAATTACAAAAAGCTTTTAACTACTAGCTTGTTTCCGTGAATATGTATTTTGGTGAAATGCTCTTAGAGTAACATCATAACTTTGTCTTAGGTGGACGAGGAAACCCACTTTGGAGTAGTTACCTTACTTTTTTATTTACCTTACTTAATTCATCACAGACCTTATTTTTATCTTTAACTTTAAAGTAATCTTATACTGTGGTATGCGTCATACGTTTACAATAACTTATTATATTTCTATTTGTGATAATATTCTTAACAATTTTCTCGGAATCTAAAATGTAGCTGCATATTTTATACTATCAATCTATGATGAACTGATCTGATACTGATCAATGAAATTCATAATTATCTACTTCTAACAAAAACTTCGAATATAACATGGTAATCAACAGTGCATTTGTTCAGGGTCTTCGCCACCAGTATCGCTCACGCTAAAGGCGTCGGGCGAAGTAAGCGGCGGCGGAGGTGGGTCGCCTAAACGCAGCGTCGCTCTACCCGATACGCTGCTGCGCGGCCTCAAGCTGCATCAACCCGACCCACCACTACATATACCCAACCTGCAAGAGGAGACCATCCTCGCGGTAACTACTGACTGACACGCCTGCACTACACTCACCTAACCTAACCGGACCCGCCCCTTCGACCTATAAATAATACTTACCAACAGTGAAAAACGAGTTAAATATATGAACACCACAGGTTTTGCTGTATCAAATCGCAGCGTATCAAACCTGCAAAACGAAATCACACACACATAAAAAAAAAACCTAACCGGCCTCGCCCCTTCACACACCCAATGTGCAGGAGGAGACCATCCTCGCGGTAACTGACTGACACGCCTGCACTACACTCACCTAACCTAACCGGACCCGCCCCTGCACATACCCAATCTGCAGGAGGAGACCATCCTCGCGGTAACTGACTGACACGCCTGCACTACACTCACCTAACCTAACCGGACCCGCCCCTGCACATACCCAATCTGCAGGAGGAGACCATCCTCGCGGTAACTGACTGACACGCCTGCACTACACTCACCTAACCTAACCGGACCCGCCCCTTCACATACCCAACCTGTAGGAGAGGACCATCCTCGTTGTAACTGACTGCACCACACACACATGAAGACAATTTATCGTACATCAAAAATTCCTGTCGATTTTAAACCTTGTACACGTGCCCCGTTTATGTTGAGTGCCATTCAAGCTTAATGGCGGTTGTGAAGTTATGCAAGCCATGGCGCATTGAACGAAATGTAGGGTGATGTACAGTGCGACAAGGATCTTTACAAATGAGGCGAAAATTGGAACTAACGCCGCCGTTTTTGTAAACGCCTGAGCATAAATGCGCTCGCTGCTAACTTCGCATCCGTCATAATTTGTTTCGTACTATACCTTTCACGTGTTATAATGAGAAAATCCTTTGTTTCGCAGGAGGAACATAGTAAGGTGTTCTCACAGCTGAACTTCGTGCTCATGTTAGCGGAGCTGCTGTCAGAGTTAGCCGTCTCGTGCGGCGCGCCAATCGCCGCGCTCATGGACGCCTCAGACGGTGAGAAACTTTGTGTTTCAATCTCAAGAAAATCCTATTCCGCGTGGAATTTTTCTAGTATAATTTTATTTAGATTTCAACATCTAGCAGTTAAATGCTAAAAAAGAAAAATATAACTTAACTTCATGTTGTTACTTTAAAAGCAAAAGTTATAGGTAAATAGACAGACTCCAATACTCAATTTTATTGCAAACTTTTTAATTATCATCCTATTTTCTATTTCTCCTTTGTTTTCAAATCATCTACGGCTCTGAACAGGTCGGATAGAGTACATTATTGTTGGATTGGTTTTTTTTTGTATTTGTCAAAACTGTGTAAGGCATATTAATACCAGATTTATTTTGTTTTAACCTCTGTAATAATATGCCGTTTGTTTTCCATGAATTAATAAATGAATGGTCTTTTTTTCGTTGTATGATAGAGCGGTGCAACGAGAGCGTGCGCCTGGGGCTGCTAGTGCAGGCGATGCAGGCGTTAGCAGCGGGGCTGCGCCTGGCCGCCGCCCACTACCGCAACCGCACGCTGCAGCCCACGCCGCAAGTGCGCAGCGGTCAGTATATCACTCACCCACCTCGCTCCTAGGGAGTAGTCCTGCGATGGAGCAGGGCAACGAGAGCGTGCGCCTGGGGCTGCTAGTGCAGGCGATTCAGGCGTTGGCAGCGGGGCTGCGCCTGGCCGCCGCCCACTACCGCAACCGCACGCTGCAGCCCACGCCGCAAGTGCGCAGCGGTCAGTATATCACTCACCCACCTCGCTCCTAGGGAGTAGTCCTGCGATGGAGCAGGGCAACGAGAGCGTGCGCCTGGGGCTGCTAGTGCAGGCGATTCAGGCGTTGGCAGCGGGGCTGCGCCTGGCCGCCGCCCACTACCGCAACCGCACGCTGCAGCCCACGCCGCAAGTGCGCAGCGGTCAGTATATCACTCACCCACCTCGCTCCTAGGGAGTAGTCCTGCGATGGAGCAGGGCAACGAGAGCGTGCGCCTGGGGCTGCTAGTGCAGGCGATTCAGGCGTTGGCAGCGGGGCTGCGCCTGGCCGCCGCCCACTACCGCAACCGCACGCTGCAGCCCACGCCGCAAGTGCGCAGCGGTCAGTATATCACTCACCCACCTCGCTCCTAGGGAGTAGTCCTGCGACGGAGCAGGGCAACGAGAGCGTGCGCCTGGGGCTGCTAGTGCAGGCGATTCAGGCGTTGGCAGCGGGGCTGCGCCTGGCCGCCGCCCACTACCGCAACCGCACGCTGCAGCCCACGCCGCAAGTGCGCAGCGGTCAGTATATCACTCACCCACCTCGCTCCTAGGGAGTAGTCCTGCGATGGAGCAGGGCAACGAGAGCGTGCGCCTGGGGCTGCTAGGGCAGGCGATGCAGGCGTTGCCAGCGGGGCTGCGCCTGGCCGCCGCCCACTACCGCAACCGCACCCTACAGCCCACGCCGCAAGTGCGCAGCGGTCAGTATGTCACTCACCCACCTCGCTCCTAGGGAGTAGTCCTGTGACGGAGCAGGGCAACGAGAGCGTGCGCCTGGGGCTGCTGGTGCAGGCGCTGGTGGCGGGGCTACGCCTGGCCGTCGCGCACTACTGCAGCCCACGCTGCAAGTGCACAGCAGTCAGTATGTCACTCACCACACGACGTCTGACGACGGTAACTGAGTGTCACCTCGCTGCTAGGGAGCACTCCTGCGGTGGATAGGGGCAACGAGAGCGTGCTGCTAGTGTAGGCGATGCAGGCGCTGGCTAACAAACTTTCACATTTATAATATTAGTAGGATCATCAATATCTTCATCAGCTTATTGATGTCCCCACAGCTTGACCATAGAACTTCCTATGGGTGAGATAGGGAGATTGGGCCGTGTACCACTGCGCGGGCCCAGTGGGGATTGCTGGCTGCTAACGACTGCAGATGCAGCCGGAATCAACGGCTTAACGTACCTTCCGATGCATGGAGAAGCACGAGATAATAAGTTTGTGGTCACCCATTCAAAGACCGATCACTGCGAAAGTTGCTTAACTTCAAAGATTGCAGCCGAACGCGCTAACCACTTGCACCATCGAGTTCAATTATATTCAGCTCGTTTGGGCGACAACTAGCAGAGAGAGACTCGTTCATCCCTAATATCTCGGTTACATTCAGTTCATTCGCGCGCAACTAACAGGGACATAGCTCTTAAAATGTTTAATGCGATCAAGCCTGCTATCGATGCCAAAATTTACATAATTTTCATACATTCTATGTTAAAATTGAATCGTCTGTGTAGAAAATTGCACTCAGACCGTAGTAGGTTTGGAACGCAGCCCAGTGCTATGGAAAAAAACTGCTTTTGTTCTTACGTCCGGTAGGGGCACTACTTACGTTTCGTTAGAAACTTTGACGCTGGCAATACGAATACGGATTTGCCAAAATTCGTCCTTGGGCGTGCGGTACTGTGCCCTTACCAGTGCACGAACCAATATGCATTTGATCTCAAAACGCGTCAAATATCAAGAATTTTTTGTATGGAACATTTTTCATATCGTAGACACATCTACTGTGGCGCTGTTTAAATTTCCATACAAAACTGCTTGACATTTTACGCGTATCGAGATGGAATTTTACTATTCGAATTTGATATTGGTTCGAGCTAAGGGTACTGATTTAAAGTCGGGCGAAAAGGTGGTAAGCTGTCGAGAGCTTGCTCATTTAGTGGCCACAGTGCACGCTCAGTGTTTCTGGGGTTCGATACGTTTCGATCAGAGCATCTTCTTCGTACAATTATTTCTTGGAATGACATCGTCCAACAACGCTCGCTACAAAACACGCACTAATTTGAACTAACGTGCGCGTGCACGCATAGACAAGATTAAAAAAATACTAAAACCACTTATTCGCTTTACAGTGGTATCCCTGATGAACGGGAAGTACAAATGCATCGTCAACGAATCAAGGAGACTGCACGAAGCTGGCGTGACGCCCGCCGTCTGCGATAAAATACTCTACGAACACGCCATCGAACTGGTGAGTGCTCTTCACAATATTTTTAGTATTATTCTTTCAAGTCTTATAACGTTTTGTTTAAAAAGCTTGTGACAGTCATAAAAAAGGGAATAAGTTGAAAATCAGGTGATATGATTGAACCTAGTGAGCTTTCAAGAAGCCGCAAAAAATATAGAATGGATTTTCAACTTAATGGATTGAACAACCAGATTAACCTTACTAGGGTCTGTACAGATGTTGAACGGAATCTGTACCCTTAGCATAAACCAATATCTAATTCGAATAGTGGAATGCCATTTCGTTACGTGTCAAATTTCAAGAAATTTTGTATGGAAATTTGAACAGGACCACAACATACATAACGAGAATTAAACATTTTCAATACAAAACTTCTTGAACTATGATAAAAAAAATGTGTGCACGGAGCACACATCTGAAGTGAAACTTCTTTTCTTAAATAACCTAGCATTAGGCGGTGCATAAGGCATAGGGGGAATGGAGCAGCACACGCACGCATCAGTCATATATAAATATATATATTGTCGCGTGTGACGCTCGTAGTATATATAGTCATATGACGCTCGTGACGCATTTCCGTTTAATTTTTTCTATAGGATTTTCCATTTACACCCCTCCGAAAAGAAGTTTCACTTCAAAAATTAAAATATTTATAACTCTATCTTCATGGGTTTTAACTTGTTTCGTTCGCTTATTTTCGGAACTGCTGGTTTAATTTAATAATTTCTAGGTGCAAAATATGTGACGTCACACTAGGAAGGGGGGACTCACAAATGTGATCAACTGTTACAAGGTCGAGGGAAGGGTAAAAAAATCACGAAATTAGTGTGACGTACTTTATGGATGACCCCTTATAAGCACGTGTATAACATTTGGCTACCGTCCGCAGTGCCAAATGGCGGCGATCGAGGAGTTGTTCGGCGACGTGAAGGAGTGCGAGCGGCGCTACATGTCCGCGCAGGTGTTGCTGCACTCGCTCGTGCAGCGGCACCCGCTGCATCCCGCGCACCGCACCACGCTCTCCAAGTGTACGTATCATATATTTTTCTCAAACATGATTAAAAATTTGAACATTATTAAACCTTCTTCGAGCAGCGGCGGACTAAAAAATCCATATCTATCGTGTAATTTAAAAATGGAACAATCTTGTACTCCGAAACATGCCAACAAAGGAGGTAACTTATCAAAGGTTTTATTTAAATTTCGAACTGACTTGCAAATAGAAAGCTGTTTATTGAAATAAAAAAAAAACATAGTAAGAGAATCAAGATTTTGAAGAAAGTTCTGCCTAGGTACTAATTAGTTTTAACTTCTCCGCATTATTTAAGAAAACTACTATACAACTTACGTATGAGTTTATAACGAATATACTCGAGGACTACTAGGACTGATTTCAAATATTGTTTCAGCATTAGGGTCATTTTACACCGGAATAGCAGCGACATGGCGAACACTTTCTCACTGAATGCGGTGTGAAATCATTTTAAACTTTGTCTCCATACTTATAAAGACCAGCATCGCTTGATAAGATTTCGTGATGTCGCGAGCGGGTCGCATGGGCGATACTGGTCTTTATAAGTATGGGGATAAAGTTAAAAATTATTTCACACCGCTCTCAGTAAGAAAGTGCTAGCCGCGACACTACCGGCCGTTAGAATGGACATGATCACTGATTAGTATAAGCTTTATTTTATCTTGTTCAAATAAAGTTCACTGCGGTCCCTAATAAAATTAGTGGGTAAGTATCTAATAATTAATTATTTTATGTTATTACAGATCGGGATGCAGTTCAAAGGCGGCTCAACTGCCTCAAAGGGCCACGCAAAATAATGGAAGTGAAACTCGAGGCCGGGATCTCATAATGAAATAAGCTAATAACACGTAGGCGTAAGCACACTAGACGCAACATGAGAAGTGATTTTATTTTGTTCTCCAAACTGACTCAATGAGGGTCAGTTTAAAGAAAAATGTAAAAAGGAATAAGTAAATGAATTATATCAATATAAAAAAAATGTATACAAAATGTTTGAAATGAATGAAGATTACCTGAGATTGCAATAGTGAATTATATTTTTTATATGCAGTTACAGTGCAAAGATGAAAATCATGTAAGTTGTAGTATATTAGTCGCCTAGGAGATGTTAACCTAACTTGGAAGATCAGACAGTAATTGCTTGGAAATTAATAGAATATAGATGTTTGTTTGCATTGTTTTTGAAATAAATGGTTGTAAGTATTCTTAAGGTTTGTAATTGTACTACAATTTTCACCACGAGGAGCATATTATCCGTAACAACTAAGTTTCAGTACTTGTAAAATATTTTTTCAGTCCTCATGTTATAGATTATCTTACACAACATAAAAAATCTAAAAAAAACGTAGAAACGTAGTATTGTTTCATAATGCATAGTTAAAGTAATGTTTTATTATTACCAACTATAGTGTATTATGTGGAATGAAATTGTAAAGTATATTATCTCAATATAGACATAATGCTATAGAGATCTCATTATTGACCAATAACAATAATTATGGCATTTTTAGGTTAAGTTACAAATTATTAGTATTTCTTTAAAATAACTGATTGAACCTTTTAATTTTTACGTCCTTTTCAAGTCATTATTACTCTCTTATTTGACAAATTGTGATCATATGTATTTCCACCTCATAGTGTCCAATGCTTTATTGAAATAAGAATAAAGACTGTTGTATTATAAATTTTTTGTTTTGTTTTAATAAATACTTATTTTTAACATCATAACAACTGTCATATTATTTACGCTCTCCAGTGAGCGGTGCTGCCATCACCCTCCAGTAGCTCCTAATAAAAAAACGGACGATTTGGACGTGACCAAAAGTGAAAACCGATTCTTTTTTTTTTAAGCTGCATGAGTTGTGGGATTGCACCATCCATTGACTTGCTATATAATAATAAATAAATATTTCCAACACACACCAATTAGCCTAGTCCCAAAGTAAGCACGTTGTAAGGCTTGTTATGGGATGTTAGAGTAACGGACAGAATACATTTACTATACATATATAAGTACATTTATATAGAAATACATATTAAACATCCATGAATGGAGTACAAATCCTCGTATTCATCACACAAACATCTGCCGCCACTGGGATTTAACCCCGGGACCTCTCGAGTCGGCAACACCATGAAACCCAGCGTACAAACCACTCGGCCACGGAGGTCGTCTGGATGGATTCTACCATCGCGAGTTGTGACTAAGTTTTCGGATACAACTAATCCCATATCGGCCGAACTATGCTCAGGGTCAGACGTCATCAGCCATCGGCCCTGACGGCCGGACTCGAAGAAGCCATTTAACTTTCAAGTTTGTTGCTGTCACTTTCTCAGTGATCATAATAGAATGTGAGTTAAAGAAGCATTAAATTAATTGGACATTTAAAACATAGTAGAATCCGTTTATTATGACACCGCCTATTATGACGTAATTACACAAAGAAGTTTGGTTTTCGTATAAAATTCATTGAAATAAAGTCAGATATAATGACTTCGCTTACAGTGACAGGTCGCGTATTATGACCCATTTTTAATATTTTTTACCCGTTTATAGTGACCGACATGATTCTTTACACCTTCGGTAATGTTCGTTGATCCCGACGAGACGTTCGGCACGTGGCTCGTTTTTGTTATAAATCTCAGTGGGTAATTACAGTTGAACGTCACGCATTGTTTTTAGTGAAATTCTATGTAAAAAAACATCTCCACGTCGTAATGCATTTACGGAACAACTCGAAGTGATGGGGAAGAGTAAGTCGAGGAAGAACTATTACTTACCGCAGAAGAGGCATGAAAGGGTGCAGAATTATTATCACGATTTGTTCATAGCAATATTGAAAATGATAATTTAACCAGGGGAATGTCTTTTATACACAGTAGTATAAGAGTCTATTACAATAAAATGAAAAAAACAAAAGCAGACAAAAATGACAACTTCCAGTAAAATATATACATACATACATGTATTATGTGTAGGGCTGCCATCTCTAAAATGTGGCAACCAGGATAAGACGCGTGATAACCCCGGATTTTGATGCCCAGAACCCGGACAGACCAATAAAAAAACAGTTAAAAAAATGTCACAAATCAACTTTTTTATGTTGATCTAGGCAAAAGAGCTAGCGGTCTACCTCATAATAAGTGGTCACTGCTGCCCATGGACACTTGCAGCACCAAGGGCCACTCATGCGTTGCCGTAAATTTTTAAACCCGGACTACAAATAAACCCCGCCCGGTCGCTCCCCGGACGCCCCGTAAACTAGGACAAATCCGGGGAAACCCGGACGGATGGCAGCCCTAATTATGTGCAATTTTTATTTTGATTTAATATGCTGTTTTTCTACGAATATACATAATATGACGTCCACTTAGTATGACGTGTTTGTTAATTCCCTTCGATGTCATAATAAACGGATTCTACTGTAAATAGGAAAGTAAAAAGCATTAGAGCAGAGTAGTCATTATTTATAGTCTTACTTTCCTATACATATTTTAAAAAGAAATAAAATAGAAACAAGGCAAAATAATAAAAAAACAGATTTATTAATTTTCAAAATTGGACAAATACACCAGTGCCTTGTTTCAAAAATTTGTAAGGTTTAATTCTGTTTCGTCCTCTTACTGGACTGAACATTACTTTGTCTGGTGGAAACTCTGATGATCCAGAAGTTTCTAATAATATATCCATATACGTCAATAGTTTTGTCATTTGTATAGAGAGTTTGGGTTGTTTATTATCTTCTAAACACCAATCTGTATTAATAACTCTTTCAATATCTCGGATATCGTCATTTATACTAGAATGGTGAGTCCCATTCCAATGCAGAGTCAATGAAAATATGGGGGCCTTTTTTGGATAATCACTTTTGAGGGCTACTAGTGCTACCAATTTTGCAGACTGCCTAGTTATTATAGCTCTGTACAGCAAATCATTTTGTGTTACTAATCCCTCTGATATCAAAAATGTTGTAGAAGGTGATTGAATGTACTCAGGCCAACCAACAGATTGCCATTGTGTTAAGGAACCAGATAATCTTATGGGCCAAGAATTCCCATCCAACGGTGATATTTTACCAGTCTCTAGATCTTGTAATTCCTTCATCAGTTCTACTCTTGACTTCAGTCTTTTTCTCAGAGTTAAAATAAAATGTTCCACAGTTGTCACACTAAGAGTTGGGCAAGGTTGCAATAACTTGTTATTTTTCTGATCGTCAATAACAGTTGCCATGAAATCTAAACCACACATTCTTTGAGCCCATATATAAGGCTTCCCAACTTCAGAAATAAAATATTGAAAGCCCTCAGGTATCCCTGCAGCTTTGAGTAGATAAGCAGTAGCTGGGTGTGGTGAGTCGTTACCATTATCAGATGAATAAAGTTCATGTAAAATACAATTGCCATTTAAAACATCAGCTGCTGACACACCAGTAACGGGTTTTGGTAATGAGACTGTGAATTTAACTGTAATTATTTTGAGATTTAATAGGTAAGAAAATATTAAATTTAATGCAGTACCATCTTGCACTTTTACTGTTATTTGTACATTAAGGGGGTGTTTTCTAAATACTTCCTTTTTCTTTGCTTCTGCTTTTTCTTCTTTAGAGACTTTCGAAGTTCTGTGATGCCGCTTTTTCTTTTCTCTTTGCTCTTCATCGTTATTCTCTTGATCTGAATCAGAGTCATTTGAAACAATTAAGTCACTTTCTACACTGCTTTGTTGTTCTAATCTTCGAGCTTCATCTTCATCACCTGATATTGCTGAAAAGAATAATTAAATGTTAATAAAATAGGTACCTTTTAAAGAAATCAAAATTAACTATAAACAATAGAATCCACAACTGTATTTGTGTTTTTATATTTTAATTGATTTAATGTTGTAATCAAATCTCATTAGTTTAAATACAGTAAAACCTGTTTAAGACAATTTCACAGGGACTCAACCAAAAACGCGTCTTAAGCGGGAAAGCGTATTATGCGGGCTAGGGAAATTTCGAATGTGGGTATTGGTATCAAATGTACAATATTGAGAAAGATTAAGAATTATGTATGTTAAAAAAAAGAAATGTATTATTATTATGTTTGTCTTTACATTAATCACTTATTTAGTTTGACAAAAATATTTTCTGGCAATTACAAGATTTTCCACATAATTTCACTTTTGCAGTGCGTCTTAGCTTTGATTCAAAGATAATACATAGTGTCTTAAATCATTAACTGCTGATAATGCCTGGGCGTGTGACAAAATTGGAGTTTACTAATCTTCGTTTTGATCATTATTACTTAGAGCTTCTTCTTATGTGTTATTCACATTCTCAATAAGATCTTCAATTGATTAAACTTTATACGATGCCACATTGTCATCAATGGAAGAATATCCAGGAAAACCCTGGGGGTCGCTTAGCGTGCGTCGCTCGACAGTCGTCACGTCAATCACTGGCCGCTGCCGAAGGTGGTAATATGTGTTGACAATTTAGGCATATTACACAGGATGACAAATCGTATTAAGCGTTAAGAAATGTATGAAAACATGTCTCAAGTTGCAAGGACTGACGCAAAATGGCGTATTATGCGAGAAATCGTATTAAGCGTGATCATATTAAACGGGTTCTACTGATTTATGCTGTTGATTTTACCTAGGTACTTAAAACTGTCAGCTAACCTACATAGTGAAAAATTATCTATTGTCGCCATGTTACCCACTCTCTGTTATAGGTAATTTTATACATAGAAGTATATATTGTAATAAATAATAAAACAAAAATAACTTTATTTTGTTTATCAAACTTACCAACTGTGACAGTTTTTTCACCTAGTGCATCAGAATATGCACTAGAATTTGCATATAAAAGAAAAAGTGGTGAGGGCAGCAATGAAGCAGCTTTTGATTCCTCTCGTTTTTCATCCAGCCTCATAGCTAAGCATTCCTGAAGTGGTTTTGTTGCTTTGAGAACATCTCGCAGGTGGGGAGACAAAGCATCTAGTCTAGATCTTGCTGCAGCTATAGCAGCAGCTACTCTCTCTTTTGATGCAACCAATTGATTGCAGGCTCCAGCCAGCTCACGTCTTTGCCGTAATTCCCACTCTAGTCTTGCAAGTTGTAGCTGATGTTCATCAATTTTTGTGATTTCCTATAATAATAAAACAAATCGAAAAAGACACATTTAGTTTCATTGGAAATTCAACTAAACTTGATATTATTTGATTGAATTATGCAAATACAGCAATGTTTTCTACAAAATGAATTGTTACTTACAGGGCGAGATACTTCTTTAGGAGCATCCTTATAAAAATCTTCAAGAGGAACAAGTTCTATCTCTTCATCTTTTGATTTGAATTGTAGACATTTAGTCACTTCCTTGTTGAGATGGTCAGCTTCATAAAGCAGATTTTGCAGAAGTAAGTGAGTGGAATCCACTTGCTGTTTTTCCTTGTGTAAAGCATCCCTGCCTGCTCTAGTGCGAACTTTTTCCAACCTATTCAGTTTTTTCAGAGCAACTAAAAGCAATGATGCTTCCACTCTTTTACTGTTTATCTTTTCTTTGGCCTAAAACATATTTAAATTTAAGCTTTAAAAATATATACTATATTTTTTTCATTCAAAAAGCTTAAGTAATGGAATAACATACAGATATTATAATAGTTTTTTTTTGACTAGACAAAAAATTTACTGAGTTCCCTTATCATGCTGAACTTAAACTTTCTTTGCTAGTAATTTCCAGGTGAATGCAGTGCAAGCTCTGGCCCTAAATTTGGATTTTATAGCTAATAATTGTTTAAACTGTAGAAATTGATAGTTGTGGAGACACACCAAAAATAGACACACATTCCTTATGGTCCCTGTAGCAAAATGGTAAGTGCTTTCTCCCAAATAAAAAGGGTGTTCATTTGATTCCAGTTTTATACGAGGTATACTTGAGGCAACTGTAATAGGTTGATTTTATAATAGCAAAAATCGATAGTAGCAGGTAATAAGTTATTAAATTCTTATAAAAAAGTACGTATATTACGATAAATTGTTTCGGTACCTCATCAGAATCTTTAGATTTTAGTTCGACGATATCAGAAAACATTTGACGGACATCCTGACAAATCTTTTTAAATAAAGTAGCATCCTTTTCAGCAGAACGTAGCTGAGCTTCGGTCTCTTCAAATTCAACTACTCGCTAAAACAATAAAATAAAATTAAGATGAAAATATACTCATCCTAAATAAATTGTAAAGATAAATAAAAAAATAACCTTGTATATATCGGCTGGTCCCTGTTTGTTGACTTCGCTTGTAGATGAGCTAGAATTGATTTTACGTCGCTTTTTTGCCGATACGTCTTCTTTACCCATTTTATATTCTGTTTTTGTGTATTGGGTAGTACATAAAAATTTGCAAATATACAAATTCGATTCAAACAAATTAAACAAAGACAGGCATGCGTCATAGAGAAAAGTAATACTGGCATGCGTCCTGCGCATAGAGAAAAGTAATATTACTAGGTCCTGCGTCGCGAGTTTTTTTTTAAGATACTCACTTTTCTTTCTGGGAAGCCAAAGGGAACAATGCCAATACAGCCTAATTTAAAGTTCTATTAATCTTCTTCTTTTTTTAATATTAGAATGTCGGTGTGATGCATTCTAATGTTTCTTGGAGTGTTGGACACGAAATGTATAGTTGATTTTTTCGATAAATTTTTTTGAGGTAGTTAACACTCAAATAAAGTTCCCACGTCCACTTGAACGGAGTAGCGTATTATATTAATACAGATTCCACTAATTCTTCAGTTGCGCAGACGGTTGTAACACAAAATCACTCCAATTTTATTTCACAATATCCACTATGAATGAATTTAAGAATAATGTGAGTTAGGGAGTAAGGCACCCGATTTAGGGCGATCGGCGCAGTATAACAATTGTTTACCCTAACGAGGGGCCACGCCCACCCTTTCGATTGAGCCTTAATCCCGTTAAACTCAGTGCGTAAACGTTGTTGTGGTTGAACGTCATCGTCATGGCACCCGCTCTTTCTCTGTGTTATCTTTAGTAAAAATTTAGTAAAATATGATATGGTATTTAATGAAGAGTAAATAAAATAAGATATTAATATGAATGTACGTTAAAAAAACTACTCGATGAAACAGAGGGACCACTTTGTTCTCATTTCATTAAATACATTGATGTAATATATTACATGTTAATCAAATTGAAAGAAACACTCTATGCTAAAACTGAAGAAAGAAATAAAATTAAACTATAATAGATTTTTGCCTCTCCATCTCCGTGTTAAAATTATGCAAATAAATATATATGGTTATATTAAATTTAATATAAGGTACTGTTTTCACATTCATTATCAATAAATTGCATCTATAGTGCGGCCCCAACTCGTGTGTGTCGTCGTGTTTACAAGTACCCTCACATTTCTTCCCCTATCCAGTGGCTTCACTTGATTTCTTAATGAACGCTACACAACATCTCTTATATTTGGTACCGAACGATTAGAAACGAAACAAAGATTCAGTGATGTAATATACCTACGTCCGTACTCCGTACGTATATCTCAGTCGACGCTCTGAGAGCGTATAACCAGTGGCGTAGCATGGGGGGGGCGGGGGGTGCGGTCCGCACCGGGCGGCACTTTGCCGGGGGCGGCGCTGCGGAGGTGGCAGATAGAGAAAAAAAATTAAAATATAAAAAAAAAGTGATATTGTGATAGTCTACCTTCTACTCTATGTCAAAAAATATTAATTTCACTCTTAGGTTAGTGTTATTCAATAAAAGTACCCTTTTTACCATGCCTCAATTTTTTTATAATGGATTGCAAAAATAAAAGGGCGGCAAATTTGGAATCCGCACCGGGTGCTAGTGACCTATGCTACGCCACTGCGTATAACCTCTCAGAGCGTCGACTGAGCTCCCTTACTGCCTAACAGCGTCTTCACTACCCAATCGTCAGGGCGTAAAGGAGATCGGGTCGCTCGCGGCACCCTAGATCGGGACCCTTACTCAATTTACACCACCCTTAAGCAAGATATACACTACCCAATTTAAGGGACCCTTACCCTGACTAATGGTGGTGTAATGGGAGTTAGGGAGTAAGGGACCCGATCTAGGGCGATTGGCGCAGTGTAAAATTGGGGCCCTTATAATTGGTTAGTATGAAGCCCGTTTTAGTCAGGGTAAGGGTAAAAAAATATTGCTTATTGCAGGAAAAACTAAACGTTTTAAACTTGTATTGCATAATGTTAAACAGGTTAAAACCAGTGTGAATATAAAAGTTAGTAAAATGGACCTTGTAGTAACCATAGTATTCTTAGGGATTACTTTGAATTCTAAGCATCAATGGGGCTCCCATATTGATAAATTGTCAAATATACTTACAAACACTCCTCTCAGAACGCTGATTTTATTTTACCGTACCTACTTTTCCAAGAGTTCGCAAACATTCGCGGCTTAGTTATACAGTTCGCCGCTCACTTGATATTGAGTTAACGACCGATCGATGCGCCCTGCTCAGAGTCATTTAGCGGGTATTTAGCCGTTGACCACCGCTGACCGTGAGCCTAATGGGGACAACGCCTAGTAAGGGCTACATTTCAAGCGGATACGAGTACATGTACAGAATATTATTGGCTGTACCATTACTTCCTTTTTCTCTAGAGAATTATATTCTTATATTAATTTCATGCGAGTGTCGCTCAGTTCCATCGAGATTGGGCTCGTCTGAATCGTGTTGATAAGTACTTTGCTTCTAGTTGTTATCCAGGATCTGATTATTCAGCCGGAAGGTGGCCATCTCAGAACTGTGTGGTTAAAACGACGCAATCCCATGGATTTTACACCTTCTCAATCGTCTTGTTCTGTAATTTCATTATTCTGAGGGTTCTATGTAACGCTTACGATTTCGTTTTGTTATTTCTGACGGCCGAAGCATTTCAAATACCTCACGCTAATTTTCTTTAATATTAGTATTACCAATGCTAAAGAAAATGCAAAGAGAGAGCGAGGCATTTAAAAACCTTCAACGGTCACAAATAATTAAATAAAATCGTAAGCGATAGCAATAGCCATATCATCCCGTTAGGCGAATGCCCCCCGGGAATAGACTTAAAGTTACATTACATACTAACTTGCTTGCTGTAAATACCTATATTTTATATTTTTGTTATAGCTCACGTAATCCTGCAAAACTGTATAAAGAACAGACAGTTGAAAGTAACATGATTAACGTGCATGCCTTGAACTCGTGTACCTGACGTCACTGCGGTAAGTTTACTATAACCGGCTAGACGTGACTGTGGCGTGCTGTGTTCGCTTGATAATACCAGTGAACGAGTGTTATTGTTGACTTAAGTTTACATAAAGCATTTATCTGTGTCTTATTAGTCTTAAATGCATCGAACCTAACAGTTGATCTCATTGTATAATCGTTTAACTTTGAAAATGGCGCAAGAAAAGTGGGAACTTCGTTTAATTACATATATGTGTCCTACACATCCAGTGCAACTATATGAATTGATCATGGAGTTGTTAGAGGAATCCCTGGATTGCTACACGAGCTTGCTGTACGAGAGCCGGGCGCCAGGTCCTTTCAAGGACAGAGAAGATCCTTTTGCTAGAAATAAAGTGGACTTAGGTGGGTACTTATCGAAATTACAGTACTTTATTAATTTATGTTATTATATGTAAGTGTTATGTTTTTTAAAAGAAACTTTTTTTAACGCATGTCTATCTCAGAGGGTCCCTGTATTTATATTCATTCCTGTATTCATAAACCTTAATCACAGTAACATTATATAATATTACCGTGCCTCAATTTAGCGCAATAATACCTTAATGTCTTTGATTTAACGGTTCAATTTACTTTAATGTCTTTAATTTAACGGTTCAATCGTGAAAGCGTAACAGACGGACGAACATAATCATTATCGCATTTATAATATTATTATGGAACAATTTTAATAGGTATTATAAATTATGGTATTAGGAAATTACCTAATATTTTTTTAATTTAATTATTTAATATATAAATTTTAGAAAATCCCACTTAATAATCAATTTGAATTTTTGGCGTCGAAGCCACCACTGCACCAGTTTTTTATGGTTCCGTACCCAACGGAAAATAATGAACTTCTATTACTATAGCTCTCCGTCACCTGTTCGTCCACCTGACAGCTGATTATAACCAGTTTCTATGTAATTAATATAAAATATACAGCTTGTAAGCTGTATATTAATATAAAATATACAGCTTGTAAGCTGAATATTTTATAATAAGGTGTTTGCAGTATTGTTGAAATTATCACAGAATGTAATTAAAGCTAGAGGATCCCTATTATTATTATTCGATTCAGTGTACCTTATGTATATTGGTACGGTATGGAACCTTCATATTCGAGTTCGACCCGTGCTTGGTCGGATTATTCGTTTCTAACAGTGTTGAATTATATATAATCAATGTTTTAACGTACCAATACCAAGCATACGTAACTCCGTCACAATATTTCAAAATTGATTCTATTTATTTCGTGAAGGTTTCATGACTGCGGCGTCGTACATGCGTCTCAGAAAAGCTGGAAACAAGTCGGTAGAATTACTACCTGTGACGCCGGTTTTTGCGCACCAAATGAACGTGGAAAACAAACCAGGATACTTCTCTGATGTAATAATCCATAGCGATAAAAAGTAAGAACTTGGTAATAATTTTAGGCTTAGTTCAAATTATGTAGATGCTGAAAAACATCCTGCAGTTAATCTGTCTAAGCGCGTCGTTTAAAGTTGCAGAGCCATCGGAACTGAGAGACCTGGTAGGTAGATACTAGTGCCGACCCTGAGGTAGAGCGAGTGAAGCCGCTAAAGGTGCCAAGGTTTGGACTTTCAGTAACAGCAGCCAAAACGCCAAATTCTAGTTCCCAGCGAAAAAGATCGTGTTTTTCTTTTTTCCCAAAGGTTGACTGGGAGACTATGCTATTAGCATTAAGTCCGCCTTTTGTACCATTCTCTTGTATTTTGGTCAATAAAGTTTAAAGTAAATTACTAAATAAAAAGCCTAAAGACTTCGGCTGATACTACGTACTACAGGGACTACCTATGCCCAATACATTTGTTCATAAGATAAAACCTCTTTAATACTTAATAAACAAACGAAATTATAGTGTAACTTGTTAGAAGGTAAGCAGTATTTTGTTCATCATCATCATCATCAGCCTATTAATGTCCCCACTGCTGGGGCACAGGCCTTCCCTATGGATGGAATAGGGAGATTGGGCCATGACCCACCACGCGGGCCCAGTGCGGATTGGTCGGTGCTAAAGACTGCAAATGCAGCCGGGACCAACGGCTTAACGTGCCTTCCGAAGCACGGAGGAGCTCGAGATAGTAAATTTTTGGTCACCCATCCAATGACCGACCACTGCGAAAGTTGCTTAACTTCAACGATCGCAGCCGAACGCGCTAGCCACCTGCGCCATCGAGCTCCTCGTTTTGTTCACGTCAGTCAAACTAAAGACATTTTATAATCCGATAACCGAGACATAACACTGCGTAACTGGACTCGTAAGCTTATTCTTCCTCTAATAATAGAGTAAATTAAATTGGCTCTTAGCAATAAGCGAAGCTCTTTTTTAGTGTGACCTTAGCTTTACGAGAATTATGTAAAGTAATTAACGCATCATATAACTGATTAAAATAAGTACATAAGAAATTTCTTTCTCTGAAGTTGACTAAAAATGATTAACTTTCTTATTTCACTGTACTGTACTGTACATACCTATCAAAATTTCATGGAAAATTACTTGCTCGTTATCCAGTAAAATAAGACAGCTACCTATTTTGTAGTCTCCTACTGTCTACTACTACAAACTAAAGTAATTAGATAACAATATTATCAGCTATAAGTCGTTGGCTTCTGATAACAGTGCTCCTATTGAGTTATTATTTGCTTTACGATAAATATTGTATTATTGGGTCCTACTTCATTCATTTGTTTGAGTTTCTGTTTATTCCACAGAGCACACAACGTAAATACTTTACTGGATCTCCGAGGGTGCACATTTGCATACAGCGACGAAGAATCTCTTAGCGGAAGCGTTATAATATTAAAAACCTTAAAAGAAAAAGGTGAAAATGCCTCATTCTTCGGATCTAAATTAAGTAAGTGTTTAATTAATCGAATAGGGATTTATTCCGCCGCGTGTGTCCTACCCGAAGTATCCGATGATTGACCGGATTTTGGATGATACAATTCCAAATTGTTAGACCTACTCCTTCGATAAATATGGATCAAACTAACTCCCAACTTCGAAACACCTCTATTCGAGCAGGACCCACAACGAGGCTATCTACTTTTGGAGCTTTAGCGCTTTCCTCTTCAAAGCCAATTAGTCGTTGTTCAAAGCTAAAGAGAAAGTGTCTTTTTGCTCATTTACTAATAATAATTACCTAGTTAGGAATTTGAAAGGGATGGCAAAATTGAACAAGATCACAATTCGGCCCCTGCTTGCAGTGGGTGGCATACAAACAATAATAAACGATATCTACAGTGCTTTGAATATTTCTCTTAGACAATGTCCCAGGGAGATTTTATCGTTGATTTACATCATTTTTGGGCATTCTGATCACTTACTTGCTCTAGTTGAATGACAGGACATAATATTGAATCTGCTTTCTCAAAACAGAAAGCCTTAAGACAACCTTAGGGTGTGGATAGAAGGAGTACCTACGGATGTGAATAATATATTGCGTGTACCCAGGTCATGCGAACAAGTGTGTGTTTCTTTCTAGCTACTAACATGGCATGAATGCTAATTTAAAGAAATCAAAGCAGTTGGATTTTCGGAGTTAGTCTATATGGAAAAATCTTACAAAGATTTCGATTATAGTGATGAGTCTAACAGCTTGAAAAAAAATCTCAATGTCGATCATCGGAAGCAGAGGAAGTCCAAAAGAAGTCACCCAATCAGTTATGTTATCGGAGGCAGTTTAACGATTCGAAAATAGTGATTCAACCATCGGACTTTTTAAACACTTTGTATTTTGATTTCAGGATCGGGTTCTCATTTAGCGTCCGCCCAAATGGTATTGTCTAAACAAGCAGAATGGGCTGCAGTTGACTCTACAACTTTATTATATTCTAAAAAATATATGCAGGACGGAGGGAAAGATATTACATTGTTAGAAACTCTGGGAAGACTTCCACCTTATCCTTTAGTTGTTAATACTAACCTCAAAGGTAATTTAGTACCCTAAAAGCTTAGGTAGCGATATTTTTTTAAGTAATTTTACTACGCTCTGGAGGTTTGCCTACGACCTTACCAATTTTTTGAGCCGCTCTTAATAATTGAAGCATCTGTCAGTTGAAGTAACTTCCGCCTTACAAAATACTTATCACAGTAAAATAAAAGTAAGTACCTTTGGGTGTTGTTGTTTCTGTCAGTAAGAGTCAATTTATACTAGCGCAGAGTCGAAACGCATCGAAGCGTAAAATTCTTCACAACTAAAACGAAGTTGTACGAATGCGCGCGTATTCGCGAAAGTACGCTTTTATCAGCAGCAGCGCTATTGCATCACTAGCCAGTTGATCTATCATCACAGGCTAATTTCCGACTGATGGCGCGTAGATTCGTTAGTGAGCGCGCGGATTCGCGAGAATGGACCAATCAGCGTTGGTCTCGCGCAGACGCGCGAATTCCGTCGAATGAGCGCGCGTCTTTTTATATCTCCGAAGTAATGTGTGCCGTCCGCTGTCGAGATAAGGTTGAATTTTTTATGTTAATAATTGGATTTACGCTTCGACTCTGCGCTAGTATAAATTGACCCTAAGGTTCCAGGGCTCCACGGGGTTGGGTTAGCTTAGGGTAATGTAATGGAAGGCAACGCGCGACGCGAATGATATTTAATTCGGCAACTGCAAGCGTCTATGATACAGAGTGGCTGAATATGGCGACCTCTAACCACAGATCTCTATCAGGCGGGCCTGCGTATGCTTGTTTGCCATTTTTTGTATTCAAACATTTAAACAAAAAACCGACACCTGATGGCTAGCGCCGCGGCAGCTTTGCTTGAGGCACGCCTCGGGCTGAAGCGCCTACGAACTTGAGGCAACAGGGCGAGCCGTGGCTGCCTCTAATCCGTACGCACCATTAGCGAAATCCACTTACTAATATCATATTTAATTTACAGATACAGTAAAGGATGCCATAATTAAAACATTATTGACGTTGCCACAAAAACCGGAATGGAAGAAAAGATTTGCCAAATTTGGTATTATAAAATTTGACAGCAATAGTGATGGTGCTTATGACGGGCCGGCTGCACAGATGTGGGCCAGCCAAAAAGAAAAACTCAATATTCGCTATTATTAGATTATCTCTACTGATCTCTCTTGTTTATGTCTTGTACATTTTATACATAGACTATATACCAAAATGATTTCATGAAAGACAGCAATTAAAATAATACATTATATGGGATTTTGTATTTTTATATTAAAAATTATGCAGCAAAGTTGTCTCTTTGTAATTTTGTACATACCATGTTACATTTATATTCTTGTTTTCTGTAACACAATATTCAAGCACATAACATGTTTTTCTTTCTTGCCAGTTTCTACAAGAACACCCCTTGGTACTCTGATAACTGCTAATGCTGAAGGAGGTTTAGTCCCTGGTAGTTTTGTAGGATCTCTCTGGAATATTTTTAAATATGATACTTTGAAAAATTCACAATATTATCTATGTAGTTAACAGTTTCTAACTCAATTCATCAATATTTTCAACAAGATATTAAACAATATTGATTTAACGTCATTATAAATTCAATCAACTTCTATAAACTAAAATAATTTAAAGGGCCAAGTAATAGATCTACATTTGGAAAGAGTTTCTACAATAGAGGTAGTAAGGGACTAAACAATTCCACCGCCGTTGATATGGTCAATTTCTTCCTGTGACATTGGTTGTCTTCGGTAGCGAGCTGGGAGATCAATGTCTGAAATGACACCAGTACTCATTGCTGCTGCTGACTGGCTTTGTTGTGGTTGAGGCTGAAGATAAGAAAAAAAAGGTCTAAAGAAAACAATATATAATAATTATGTATAATAAATTAAATTAAACTTACTTATGATATTTTATATAAAGGATCTATTATATAATTATAAGGATGTTAACGTCAAATATGCATGCAACACGAATTTCAATATAAGTGGCATATTAATGTCCCCACTGCATGCAATGAAATAGGGTGATTGGACATGTGTACTAAATGGTGGATGCTAATGACTGCAGATACAGCCAGCAGCAACGACTTAACATGCCTATCGAAATACGTAGGAGCTCGTGATAATAAATTTTTGACCCATCCAGCTTTCTTGCCGGCCATTGCGAAAGTTGCTTAACTTTTACGATCGCAAACCGAACAACTTGCGCAATCGAGCACTTATGTTTACCATCCTCTAAATCTAAAGACGGTAACGTTCAGTAGTTATGTAAATAGAGTAGGACCTACTTGAGCAGCTGATTGTGTTGGTTTAGGAGACGTCATCGGCCCTGCACCAGATCCTTCAGCACCACCTTTACGAAATTTTATCATAGGAACACGAGCAAGAACTGCTGTTATTCGGACCATCTTAATTTATGACGGGGAATCAGGGATCAAGGAACAGAGGACGTGCTTTTTTAGTATTCTTAAGAAAATAAATGATGAGCTTCTGTCAGTGTCAATGTAAAGTGTCATATTACCACAGGTTAGGTTATTAATAATAATAATAATCTTTATTGACATACACCTCACAGGACATACAAGACATTAAACATGACAGTGAAAACGTACACAATAGGCGGCCTTATTGCTAAACAGCAATCTCTTCCAGGCAACCCATGACAGTGAAATAAATAAATAAGAGGAACAAGAAGGGGGGGGGGGGGTGTAGCAGGTATGGTAAAATAAATAATGAATAATAGATATATACAAAGAGAGAGGTAAGACTTAAAGTTGGGAAAGGAAATAACCTCTAACTTGATCACTAAACGAGCTTAGAGTGCGAGCCTTTCGGATTGTTTCAGGTAGTGAGTTCCACAACCGAACAGAATGCACAGAGAAGGAATATGAAAAGAAATCAGTTGAATGGAGTGGGACTGCAAGGGTTAGATTTGAAGAGGACCGCAAAGTGCGTTCTGATTTGGAATCAAGAAACGAGAAACATTCTTTTAGATAGGGCGGAGAAGTAGGAAGGAAAAGTACAGAATAGAGAACCGTAAGAGTGTGTAAGTCCCAGCGTCGGGAGCCATTTTAGTTTGTGTGGAAAGTATTAATTTTGCTTTCAAGAAAGAGATATGGTTAGGCGGAAAAAAACACACGGAAGTAGTTTTTAATGTATAACGAATTAAGCACAATCTTTCATAAGGTGTCGATTCTGGCATGATTCTCTAAAGCTAAACTTAAATTTGACAACAGTGAATCCCTGTCCTTCTCTATAGAGAATGAAAAGGACATACTGAAGTTAACGGACAATGGGAAAATAATACCCAGCTCCGGCAACCATTTTTAGTATGAATTGAAAGATCTATGAAAAATTTGCCTATTTTATTACGTTTGCCGTTGCGCAGTTTACCGTTTAACGAACAGACTGTTTGAAAACACCCAACCCAACCGGGTATTTTTGGATTTACTCTTGCGCGGTAGAATAACATAAGGGGGCACCCTTACACCTTGTGAAGTACTCCCATAATACCTGAGAACGCAACCCACATACCGGCTGACCTCCTCAAAAGCCCAGACCCTATAGATATCGCCCATCATAAAAATAATTCTACCCCGGTAAGCGTAGAAGTGACATACTCTACGAGTACGCAGCACTTACCAATATGTACTAATTTAGTAAACAATTACTGCTTTATTATAAGATACTTGTTCTCAAAAGCATCGATGGATATGCAATTTTCTATTCAGTTCAACGATATTAAATACCCTAGATATACCAACACGATGAAAAATCGTGGTCGAAACCTGTAAAAGGTACATTGAACGATCCACGGACATAGAGGTATAAGAATAGAGTGGGGAAGGCGGCTCTAAAAGTGTCCGTCTAGTAGAAATAGAAAGCAAATGAGAGACCGCTAGCTTTCTCTCTTGTGACGCATGCCATCTAATGGCATCACATCGAAATAGTAAGATGCTTACGGTTGCCAATGCGCATGCGCGATGACAGAGAAAGCTAGCGGTTACTCATCTTCTTTCTCTTTCTATTAGAGGGACACTTTCACTTGTAGTAGAGTCTATATCTCCCCTACTCTATTCTTATACCTCTATGTCCACGGAGCTCCGTAAGATGATCGTGTAGTCAAAAACAGTGTAATAGTACGAGAGCCCACGACCAAAACCATGTCTCATAGCAATACGGCAAAACCCTATAAAATCGTTAGATTGTATGATTCTGAACCCGACTAGGTGTGTAGTTACGGTCGAAAGTGTAGCAAATTTCTGCTGTGTCAAAAAAAAGACAGTCGGTATTATAGCAATAGGGTGCGGCCAGAGTGCACTCAGATTCAGATTCAGATTCAGATTTCGAAAACAAGCGCGAGAAATAAACAGTGTAGTCGAAGGGTACGGCCAGATTGCACTCCTGATTCAAATTCAGATTCGGACTCAGAAAACAAAGCGCGAGAAAAAGCAGGCAACCTGCTTAGACTACACTGTTTATTTCTCGCGCTTGTTTTCAGAATCTGAATCTGACTCTGAATCTGAGTGCACTCTGGCCGCACCCATACGTCTGATAGTGAAAATGTACATAGATTTTATGGTTGCTTTCCAATTACAGCATTATTGCGCATTATGCGGCATTATGCTTAACGTTGAATGTTCCAACTACAGCAACGCTTCGCACAATTGAGCACTCTCAAAAGTGATGCTTTCGTGTGATGCGTGCAATGGTACCAACTTAGAGACAGAAAATTAACAAGTGTTTTTTCTTTAAGTTGGCATTGATCGAAATGTTTTATTTATATGTTATCGTTAGTAATATTATTTATTGTTGAAAAATTATTAAAGCTTTCGTTTCATTCGATAGTTTTTTTTTAAATAATCAAAGTTCATTCAAACTGTTAAAAAATAAATATAAGTATGGATGAAGGTACAAACATTGGTGCCAATTCTGGCGTGATTCTCTAAACTTAAAACTAAATTTAACATCAGTCTCTCCTTTTCATTCTGTATAGAGAATGACAAGGATATACTGCTGTCAAATTTAAGTTTAGGTTTAGAGAATTATGCTAGAATCGACACCATTGACTTTTTTTTTTCAACACTGAACTTAGCGCACTCTGCTGGTGCATTTGAAAACTAATTCACGTTCAAATTAAGCATCAGCTTAATTGGGCATTGTGCGGCACTGAGTCGCATTATGCTCTGTAATTGGAAAGCATACTATAATTGTATTACGAAAAAGTTTGTTTTCAGACATTTTGCGCGTAGCATATAGCCTGAGCGCATTTTTGAAAATGTCAACAAATTTTTTTATTATTTATTTATTTTAAATTTGTCAAAAAATTATCATAGCAATACGGATAATTTTTTTTTTCAACTTTTCGTATTGCTGCCATGATTACCAAAAACCTGTTTTCAGACACTTTAAGTGTAGCATATACTCCCAAAAACGAAAATAACGTTTCGGAGCAGTGCTGCCAACCCGAATTTTAGAAAATTAGTAGATTATGTGCCAAATGTTGGTAGAAGTTGGTAGAATGTAAAATGCAAAATTGGTAGATCTACCACCTCAATATAGAAGATTTTTTAAGATTAAAAATGCATGCAATGCAATGCAGAGCACACTTCAGATCACACCTACATGATTTGCAATAAAAATATCCATCACCCTTAGTAATTTCTTGAAGCCACCCTGCAAATTCCTTGTCTTTCTCCCATAATTTCGAATATTTTTGGTCAGTGCCTTTTTCTAGGTTTTCGTGGCGGAGTTCCTAACCTAGAACTATGTGCATCGCTTTCACTGCTGTCAGAATCCATTATATAAATAAATGCACGCAACATAGAACAAACAGCAATCAGCACCGTTAATACGCAGATAATTAGTTTTTACAATAAAACGGGAGCAAAGATTCAACATTGATTCCGCAACAAATCATCACGCAATACATCGCAACGTCGCTCGTCGATATAAAAATAATTCAAAGTGGTGAGATGTCAAACTAATTAAAAAATAGGTAGTTTTTAGGTCTAGGGTGGTAGATAGGTAGACTGTAGTGAAAATTGGTAGATCTACCAAAAAGTTGGTAGATATGACAGCACTGTTTCGGAGTCGCCTGGCCGACGCCTCTGTTAAATGTTTTTTTAAATTTACAGCCTTCATAGATATTCAAGAATCTCCCTTGTCTATTATATGTACTTTGACAGATGTCATTCAGGTTTCGGGTACATTCTTTTAAAATTATTTTTAAAATTAAAACATCTAATAAATTCAGGGTCGCAACGTATTCATTGGTTTGTAACAGAAAATTCAAGATGCCTCAATACGATTTTTAAATGATATCTGAGTATCGAAAAGTTGTCTGATAGAGAAGGTGCTACACTTAATTTGTCTGATATAATTTTTTTGCACATGTGGACAACTTATTTTATCATGTCCAACAATTTTCAGACATATTGCTATGATACCGATCAGTAAAATTTGTTAACATTTTCAAAACGGTCTCAAAATTTAATGCGTTCACATTTCCGTCTGAAAATTGTTTTGTTCGCATCAAATAACCAAAATTTACTAATAAAAAAGATTTTCAGACGTATTGCTAAGAGACATTTTTTTTGTCTCATTTTTAATTTTTTTAAGTGATTTTACGGGTTTGCGCTACACCACTAACGTCTGAAAAATATGTTTCCGGAATCTCAGAACTATCATTCAACTACAGTCTGCAAATCAGACATATTGCTATGATGCAGTTCGGTAAAATTCTTTGACAATTTTGAAAATTCGGTCAGATCAAACGCTACGCGGAAAATGTCTGATATTGGTATTTTCGAGTTCAAGATAATAGGCTAGTTGACCCTTTTTGGAAAAAGGTTTTAAATGGTTAATAAATGTTCTATAAGAACGAAAAAAAATGTATTGTATTTTTTTGAGACCTAGAAAGCTACAAATCTTTAATTTTAAAATAGAATTTTCATGGACATACAAAAACGCTGTCGGCCATTTTAGTCTATAGATTGTCTATGCTATGATGTCAACTGTAGTAAACAAAAACTCGTAAGCACGTAGAAAATAACTGAGTTTATAATAAAAAGAACATGATTTCTATTAAATACCACGAAAAATAAAGTAATTATCATTATTGTATTGTACGAGAATATAAAAACACATCCTTGAAGACGCCAGGAATGTTGTGGATTAAAGTGCCGAAAGAAATTAACCTACGCAACTTTATTACACTTATTCATATGTTGTATCAGTTTTATGTATATTACTACATTGTAATACTAAATGCACTGTACTTACATAGATGCCTTGTCGTTTCTCTGCTCCGCAGAGCAGTAATCGGGGTTTAGTGCAAAAAATTCACCAACCATCAATGCGTCAATTCTTGGCAGATTTGTGCTTTCACAAAGCCGGCATCCATAAT